CAAACTTAAAAACTACTTATTAGTTATATACTATTCAAAAAAAGTAGGGGATATTTGATTTTAGGGGCATAATACTAAAATATGCAAATGACTACGAAAAAAGTCACTATAGAACCTAACAGAAGAAACATTTCCAGTTACATGTGACGCCCAAACGCACCAATAGCTACCGCATGGAATGCAGGTGATGCTTGGGATCATCATGGGGGTCCAACCCAAGATTTGCACGACTCTGACTTTGAATGTTACAGTCATTGTGGCATTGAATTCCAGGGTGGAAACATCAGTTTAATTGTTTTAGTGACCAGAAAACAAATTTTGATATGCGTTGGCTTACCCAAAATGAAAGGTTACGTGCCCTTGGCATGCTACAGATCGGCACAACACAGGCGGTTGTGGCGCAGACGATGAATGTTTCTCAGTCTGTCATAAGCAGGCTATGGTCCAGATACCGTGATACACAATCTGTACAGGACAGACCACGCTCAGGTCGACCAAGGGCGACAACTCAAGTCCAGGATCGATTTATCCGTACCTTGGCCTTGAGAAATCGTGTCATCACAGCAAATCAGATCAGCGCTCGTCTTCAAACAGACACTGGTGTGAGAGTGAGTGGCCAGACAATTCGGAATCGACTGCATAGGGGTCACCTTCGCGCTCGACGTCCTCGCGTGATCCCTTGTTTGAGAGATCATCACATTCAGGCAAGACGTCGTTGGTGTAGGGATCGTCAACACTGGGATAATCGACGCTGGAGCAATGTGATGTTTTCAGATGAGTCAAGGTTCACTGTTGATTTTTTGGACAGACGTAGGAGGGTGTGGCGTCGTCGAAACGAGCGCTTCCAAGACGTTAACGTCATCAGACATGATCAATTTGGGGGTGGTTCTGTTATGGTGTGGGGAGGCATCACTGTTGCTGGAAGAACGGCTTTACATGTTGTTGCAGGGCGTGTTACAGGCCAGTACTACCGGGACAACATCTTGGCAGTCCATGTTGTGCCGTTCGCACGACGTCATGGCCGCCGTTTCATCTTCCAGGATGACAACGCAAGATGTCACAGGGCCAGGATCGTTACAGGTTACCTCCAACAACAGAACATCACCACATTACCTTGGCCAGCACTGAGTCCTGACCTCTCCCCCATCGAGCATGTCTGGGACATGCTTGGACAGAGGTTACGTCAACAACATCCTGCCAATGTCCAAGAACTTGCTGCTGCGTTGCAACAGGAATGGGACAATCTGGACCAAAATGACCTTAGACATCTCATTAGGAGTATGCCACGTCGGATCAATGCTTGTTTGGCAAACAGAGGAGGATTTACCCGTTACTGACTTGGTTGTGATGCTGTGGTAACTTTGCTGTTTGACCCCGGGTATCATTTTACCCTTATAATGGTCAGTCTGTGCCTTACTTAGTCTAACGATCATTTGGAATAAATCGATGAATGTGAACTTCATTTCATTTTGTCATTTGTTTCTTCGTCAGTTTCATTAGGTGACTTTAATAACACTTAAAAATCAAATATCCCCTACTTTTTTTGAATAGTATATATTAAAGATACATTATGGGAGATAATGTAAAGAGAATTTGCTGAAAATTTCAGTCAAATTGATCTATCCTGAACCAGGTATTTAGCGATTGAATTTTGGGCTTAGCCTCGATCATTACTAAAGTCGATACGATAAAAAACAGGCTTGATTATCCATTTTTTTTATTTAATCAGAAGCAGCTGACCAGGTTTTAATCTAGTAAATATAGCAGGCTAGCGATGCCATCAAGAGTTGATGAAATGAAATGAAATGGGGTTCATTCGGTTTAACGTCCTACTGTTCTGCTCCTATGCTGGGCTAATGAAGATGGGCATACGCCATACAGTGTGCTATGAGGGAAATTTTGCCCAGGCAGCGGCACTATCGCCTACTCTTATATCGAATTCCAACTGCCAAGGGATCTTTTACGTGCATTCCAATGTATACACGGGACCTCGGTTTTTCGTGTCATCCGAAGGACTAGACAGCTGTCCTTGTCAGGCCCTCCATCCTGCATCACTGACAAGGGGGAACCATGCCGGAAAATCTGGATGAACTTTCTCGGCCAATGCAGGGATCGAACACCCGACCTCCAGGCTAGCGAGCCAGTGTCTCACCCACTTAGCCATGTGATCCCCTCAAGAGTTGAGTATGGTCTTGATAAGTTAAACATACATTATGCAAGAGCTAAATCTGATTATTGCAAGTCTTTATTTAGGCTTCAGATGTCATAGAAATTATAAATTAGATCTTTATTTACATAACAAGCATAAAATCAACTCTGTAGTCACTGTAGACCCCAGGATGGCTTGGATTCGGCTTGGATTTAAACAGGATTTCATTGATTGATTAAATTTTTAAATGGAGTTGTAAGCGGAGATTAACCGTTACATTGACGACATACTCCCGGAAATTTTAGATCGATGGCTAAATGATGTTAAAATAAGAGTTTGGATGTCGGTATTCTACGCTCTTTTGTCACTTAAGTTTACAGAAAAATTATGGAAATTGATAAACATCGCAGCTAACATCACCCCAGTTGAATTGCAGCCCCACTGGATCACTGTTTCCTATTTGTCTGCTTCAGAAGTTACGTAGGCCTACCCAAGTTACTACGGTACAAAAGTACACGCAGGCTAACAAGAAGTCGGCTATAATTATTATGCCTCACTGATTTGGTTCATTCCTTTCAAACTTTCGCTTCTTATCTATATATTAAAAGTCTTATTTTTAATTTGTAGTAAAAATAAATGTGATACGAATTGCAACCCCGTCTCAAACCGAATAGGCTAACGGTACCACAGCCATTGAAAACGTTACTTGAAAATCTAGATTATGTAGATGGAGTTAACGCCTGTCAATCAAACGATCGGCCATTCTCGGAGACGGTGAAGAGAAAGTTGACTCCTATTTCTAGTCAAAAATTACAGTGGTGATAACTATGTTCAGAATAAAGTAATTTGACTGAAATTTTCAATATATTCTAATTTCATCATCTGTTTTTGAACTGTTGTAGCAAGAATGGACAACTCTCTATTAAAATCTCCCATAATGTATCTTTAATTAATGTCTAATTAATAATTTAGATAACATTTCAGGCCTAAAGAAAGACCTGCAAATGGCAGATTTAGCTCTTGCATAGTATGTTTAAATCGTTATCAATCATGTTTTTAGGTCTGACTTTCCTCAACAATATACATGTACATGTATATCCCATGTCAACTCTCTTTAGTTTCCTCAATAACTCATTTTTGAGGTTCATTTCTGAGTAAATTTACTGGTAACTGGCCATCTTAATTCACTCCTATATAAATGCACCCACATCTACCTTTATTTTTCAACATTATGTAATAGCAACAAGCCGTTCCTATATCAGAAAATCAGAATCACCCATTTAAGTTACAGAAATAACAGAATAGCTACACCTGTGAAAGGAACCGTTTGAGTAACAAAAATTGGTAAAATCAACAGTCTTTCTTTTCAACAAGAAATTAGGATACCAAATCAATATCACATGATAACAAGAAGTGTTTTTACTGGTAATTATATCATAACACAAATGTTAAATGAATTTACAAACACAATATTTATTCAATTTGAGTGTCTAGTTGGTTACACAAAAATACATCACAATCCCAGTTCTGGTCTTAATACATTCACTGTAGTGTCATGACCCCAAAATACAATTATCGAAGTCTACTTTCAGGTACCATACTTTGTTTATCATCTTTATTCATTCTTTTACTGAATGGTCAAGAGCTGGTCTATTTTACACTGCAGTTGTTGTTGTTTGTATTTTAGAGGAGAGCCAAAAAAAGCTCCCCTTAATCAACAAATTGAAAAAATTGCTCCCCTAAAAGAAGCTCTTCCAGTTTCAATAAGAAGAGTGATTTAGAAACTGAGCAGAGTAATCTAATATCAAGGAGAGTGATTAGTTGTGTGTATGGGAAATGGTTCTGAAGATCAATAACTGCATGTTAGAGGGTCATTCCTGGATTCATAAATGATAACAAACCCCCACTGTTTTTGTAAAGGAGAGCGATTTTCAATTTTAAGGAGAGGGAGAAAAAGCTCCCCTCAGTCGACATTGATTCGTACTGGTTGGAGACTAGATAACAAACCTTAATCTCTCAACCCTCCGTTTTCGAGATAAGACATGAGCCCATTACCTATAACGTTGCAGCTGCGGGAGCGATTCACACCCGGATTTTTAAACAAAATTGACAATAGTTTTAATCAAAACAACGATTGATTATTGTTATTTATAATATTTCTACAACACCCAACTACAATTAAGCATATAATCCTACCTGAAAGGGGTACAAATCGTCGTTTTTAAAATCGAGGCGTTAAGCCGTTACTAAGACCGCCATCTTTTTAAACGATACGCTGTCATCATGAAGGCGGGGCTAAATATAAGGCTTTTATAACAGCCAATCAAAAGGACAATCGAAAGCACAGTAACTATGAATGGATTTTGATGGGGGTGAAATGTCAGACAAAAACAACGCTTCATTAATTTAAACGCGAATATTTGGAGTTAGACGACAGTTGTGCCACTACATTGGCCTCTGTAATAAAGAAATTGAATTTGCCACTTGGAACTAAAGGCATCCAATCGTAGCTAAAAACAAACACATCAGTATATCTCAACGTGTTTAGCTACGTTCTCGTAGCTAGTTGGAGACAGACACGTACCTACACACAGAGTGTTACTAAACACAACACCCTCCTGTATATTGTAATAATGACATGTAAACAACACTCTGTCAATTTACAATTGCATTATCGTAATTTAGATATCTACAAGCACCAGACAAGATAATCTATCTGCACACTGGCTACCCACATATCATCTCGTGAAAAAACAATACAAAATTGATTGAACAGTCAAACCACCCATACCCTATCGCTCAAGTTTCTTTCTCAAAACTTCACCACATAGATATTATAGAAAATTCTTACCTTGTTAAATCGAATCTGAATACTTTAATCAAAACACACGCTCGTGTTAATCTATTCCTGTAAACAAATTCGGCCTCATGAACTGGTGTTGTGAACACGATCGTCATCACTTGCAGAAGGCAGCCATCATAGAAATGTGGCAAAAGGTCAAAGATCATTTCCGGTCGTATCTTAACCCTTTAACTACAGACAAGGGTGTGTAGCAAATTCTTATTATATTTTGAACATACAGTTGGGCCTACATTTCGCTAGAGTTTATTTTGACCAAATCTAAAATCCTTATTTCTTTACAATGCAAACAGCAAAAATTATCTACGCTGCAAATGTTTAGGCAATCCAAAATTAACAAATTAAACAAAAAAAAACAAAAAACAAATCAAATGAATAGACCATAGATCTCAAGTGAAAAAGGGTTGTTTTAATGCTGGACATCTTTTTTTTTTGGTCCCATATCCTGCATCACTAAAAATGGGGTTTAACATTCACTCGACCCAAACGCCAGGTCATTTTGCGACTAACATATGGTTCAAGTTTATTTCAATAATTCGCTTGCGCGTAGGGGTCTTAAGCAGTGGGAGAAAACCGAAGGACCCGGAGAAAACCCACATTGTTGGACAGGCGACCCCAAATAGCCTAGGCCTACTCCTGTACAATCGAACCCACGCTAATTAGACTCAGTATTGACAGACCTTATGATACAAAGCGCACATGGTAACCATTCGACCATCCAACCCCCCCACTAACAAGAGAAAACCACTCTAGAAAATCCCAGGAAACTTTCTCAACCCTCATCAGAATCAAACCCCTGGACGTGTACGTTAATTAGCCAGCACCTTACTCTGCACTAAAGCCACCGCAAATCCGAATCTGGAACTATAAATATACAAAAATATTACACTTTTAAAAATTGGATTACTAGTTTGAAACAAATGGCAATTTTTAAATTAATAAAAAAATCGAAATAGCTTTAATCTATAATTTGAATTTCCACAAACTTCCCGATAAAATCAAAGAGTTCAGAACAAAGTGGATAACGGGGGAAAAATAGTGTGAAAACCAAGTATATGCATGTAATTGTCTACAAACAGAATTTGATACCCAACAAAATGCTTTTCCTGGAAGGTACTAATCGCTGATTTAGCCATGTTCACATGTATAATCTTGACAAAAGTCATATTTTGTAGAATTGAGAGACAGTAGTAGTAGCTGCTGGTCCAACTTCTGCTTCTACAGTAGTAATTACAGCCAATGAATTGTAAAGAATCTATATTCCTCATTCTCTAAGCACTTTTTATACGCCCACATTTTCATGTGATCGTATTTTGTTTGTCATTGCCCCATGCGTCCGTTCACATTTTGTTTGTGGACGGACACTGTACGGGTCACAATTTTTATCTGACTTTGACGAAACTTGAAATATAGGTTTATCTCTCAAAGAAAAATTGCGTTTTTAGCTTGTAGTCTCTATCTAGAGGCCACAATTTTTATTCGATTTAAAATAAATATATAGTTCGGCAGAACTATGGCTGAACCTGGAAATTGTAAACGAAATGTTTTTATGATTGATTTTAGTAGCCTAGGGTGTCCTCTTTCAGAATCTACTGGGTGAACCTTGGTCACCCATGAGCGTTTTGAGAAATTCAAGAAGGCGTCTAAGACGACCGCCATTTCAAATATCGGTAATCCCCTATAAATCCCATAGTATTTAGTCTAGAATGACAACCGTATGTTTTTGGGACCAAGGAATACACTGAAATCATTCATTATGTTTTGGGGTGATTAGATGATAGTAAATCAAACATGCCAGACAATATGGCCCTTTAACCCGTTAGCGGCGATTGGGGCCGATTATTTCACAAACAAACTATATCTAGAGACAAACTATATATTTCTGGACATAGGAGCTTGGAAGTGATAACACCACATATATACCTATCAGGGGTTCCAGTGCCACATTTAAGAAACCAAATTCTACCTGCAAAAGAGGAACATAACCTCCACAAAACTAGGTAATATCCAGTTTAATCCTTTAGTCGTGTCTCTGGCTTCAACCTGTGACAGCACAAGCACACAATACTGTGTATTCTAAACCATCCCTAGTGCAGTTACAAGCACACATACTACATGAGCTGTCACTCTTGCATCCACATTTGATGAGCCACATGGCAGACTCCGGAGCAACTTGCCTGGTTGTAAGGTTTTCAATTTAGTGTCCTTCTCCCAGCAATACAGTTTCGGATCAAGTTCCGACTATTACCTAGTTTTGTGGAGATTATGTTCCTGTTTTGCGGGTAGGATTTTTTTTTTAAATGTTCAACAAACTGCTTGTGCCTCCCTTTTCATGTGGCTCTGGAGCCCCTGATAGGCATATATGTTGTGTTATAGTATCGCTCTCAAGCTCCTATGTCCAGAAATATACTAAGCAGTAAAAGAAACGTCAGGTTGGTATGTTACTCTGAATAGACGCATTGCATAAAACTTGCCAAATGGTTTTATTGTATATTTGTGACCACATCCCCAACTCTACCTGAGCAATTAAGGCTCCTTCCCAAACACAGGATTGAACCCAGGAAATGTTCTCAAAAACGCAACCTGACTTCTGAGATGGTAATGTGTTCTCCATGATTTTCATGTAACTCATGCTGCACGCGATGTTCACCGGTACCAGCCCTATAAAATTCACCCCCATACCTGGTTGAATCATTCACACTACAACGTCAGCAGCATGCCACGACTCACGACAGCTCAGAGGAACCGGGCGCTTGGAAGACTCGGCGCTGGCCACACTGCCCAAGTCGTTGCCAATCACTTTCAGGTCAATGTTCGGACCATCTACAGACTTCAGCAACGCTTTCGGGCCACCAACACTATGAACTGGCAGACCAAGGATTACCACAAGGCGACAAGACCGCCATGTTGTGTGACAGCACATGCAGAATCCCTTCACACAGGCATCTGAGACAGCACGTCAGACAGTGGGAACACACGGAAGACCCATCAGTACCGATACAGTGCGCCGATGTCTCACCAGAGAGAACATCCATTGCCGTAGACCTTACCGTGGACCAATCCGCAGCCCTCGCCATCGACGTTAACGTCTACAGTTTGCCCAACAACACCAGAACTGGCCACACAGGCAATGGAGAATTGTTCTGTTCACAGAATGGTGAGAGTCGGTATTATGGATCAACTGCAGATGGAAGGACCAGAATATGGCGTCGACGTGGCCAGCGTTATTCTGACCAATGTGTCATGGAACGAGACTCATGGGGAGGTCCAAGCATAATGGTTAAGGGTGGAATCGGCCTGAACTTGCAGGGAGTGGGTCCTGTCCTGTGGTGTTCCAAAATCTTGGTCCAGGGAGAGGAGGCAGAATCGCAGCAGTGCTCTCAGACCCCACGTCATACCACATTTTGCACGCATCGAAACAACGTTTTCCAGCATGACAACGCCCGTGCCCACACCGCCAGAGTTACTCGAGACTTTCTACAGCAGAACGATGTCAACGTTATGCACTGGCCAGACCTTAATCAGGAGTTAAACCTGATTGAACATCTTTGGGGTGAAATTCAGAGGAGACTTAATAACGTTGTGCCGAAACCAAACACAACCGATTGATTGCGCCAGGCTTTTCTGAGAGTGTGGTTCCAGGTGCCAATGGCGTTCATCAATCGTCTAATCCACTCCATGTACAGAAGCTTCCCTGCTGTTATTGACACTCGCGGTGGACACACCAGATACTGATGTATAGACTGTTTAATCACTAATGTGTCTACATACTGTTTACAAAATATTGCTTTGATCCATTTATAAATAAGTCGTTTTCTAGAATGATTTGATTAAAGTGCCTCTTTGATTTTGAAATCGTACTGATTTATTTTTTGCTGTTTAGTATATATAGTTTGTCTCTAGTCTCTTAGATATAATTTGTTCGGTGAAATAATCGCCCCAAACCCCCGCTTACAAGGGCCATATTTTCTAGTGTGTTTGATTTTACTATCATCTAATCACCCCACAACATAATGAACGATTTCAGTGTATTTCTTGACCCCAAAAACATACTGTTGGACACCAAAATTATCATTCTAGACTGTCTAGTATATATAGTGTGTCTCTAGTCTCTAGATATAATTTGTTCGGTGAAATAATCGCCCCCAAACCTCCGCTAACAAGGGCCATATTTTCTAGTGTGTTTGATTTTACTATCATCTAATCACCCCACAACATAATGAACGATTTCAGTGTATTCCTTGACCCCAAAAACATACGGTTAGACACCCAAATTATCATTCTAGACTAAATACTATGGGAGTTATGGGGGATTATTTGATGTGGCGGCCGCTTGGACGCCATCTTGAATTTCTCAAAACGCTCAAGGGTGACCTAGGTTCACCCGGCAGATTATGAAAGAGGACACCCTAGACTACTAAAATCAATCATGAAAATAAACTTTGTATACAATTTCCAGGTTCACTCGAAATATTGGGTTTGGCGACCGGACTATAACAGTTACACCACTATGGCTGGGTTCGAATTTCGTGAAAACCGAACTGAAACTGCCAGACAAAATGGCCGCTCCTTGAACGCAAATAGTGTAAAAGTATGTCATATCAAGGTTGTGGATCCTCTAGGAGGTCACAATTTTGATGAAACTTTATATGTATGTTTATATCACAATTTTAAAGGTCTTGGTTCCTCTCGATAATCACGCATATTGGAATGTAACTTTAGCTTGTGGATGGTCTAGCTGAAGTCACAATTCAGTTTTAAAAAAACATTTTAATATATCACCGTTACTCCTCAGTGTTCAAATTTCGTAAAAATCTGACCGAAACTGCCGGACAAAATGGTCGCTCATTCCATGCAAATAGTCTAAACTCTAAAAGTATGCAATGCAAAGGTGGTGGACACTCTAGAATCACAATCTTTATTTGATTTTGATGTAAGTGAACTAAACTGTGTGTTTATAACCCAAAGATATCAGTTCTTTTTGATATTCGTGCATATTGGACCGTGACTGCCTCGATTACATGGCCCGATTGTACAAAAAATTGCGTTTTTTGCTTGTTGTGCCTCTAGAGGTCAATTTTTATCCGATTTAAAAACATTTAAATTCATCACCGTTACATCTAATGATAGTTGAGTTCAAATCTCGTGAAAATCGGACCGGAACTGCTTGACAAAATGGCTGCTACTGTAAATAGTTTAAAAGTATGTAATACCAAGATTGTGGACCCTCTAGAAGTTTACAGTTTTTATCTGATCTTGGTGAAACTTAAAACTTATCAATTCCTCTCGATATTCATGCATATCGGACCGTAACTTGATTATGGCTCCTGATTGTACAAACATCTTATTTTTGTTTAGCGTGTTCTCCAGGCGCGGATCCAGGATTCTTTGCAGGGGGGGGGGGGGGTCTAGGTTGGATAATTGCTTAAAGCGAGAATTTCAAATTTTCTAAGGAAGTCAAAACATAATTATTTCTGTCTTTTGCTCAATAGGTTATCACATCACTATTATACGATCATGGGCATTATTTCCCACCCTTAAAAATCTATGACACAGGAAATAACACAATTACCTCCCATGTTTTGCTATTGACAAAATGGGGCAGCCATTTTCCAACGTTGGAATTTGAAGTTAAGAAAGATATTTTTGCCAATTTCTCACATTTTAAAAATATAACTTGAAAATTTGCAATTGCAACTTTAACTAATTGCGGTGGGCAACGTTGTAACGGGGGGTCTGGAGGCCCTCCCCCTGAAAAATTTGGTAAATTAGATTCAATTTGGTGCATTCTGACGTATTTCCGGAAGGTAAATTCCAAAATTACAGGTCTAAAAATCGCCAATAAAATCGCATTAAATGTCCATAAAATGTTGATGGGGGATGCTCCCTTCACAGGTGAGGAACAAAATATCTTCAGATACCATATTATGGTTGTTCTTAACAAGCTTTATTAGCAGTATCAATTTACTATTAGAGTAACCAGTCCATTTAAGTATAGGACAGTTGGTCGGGGTTTTCCAGAGCATAAACTTTCACAGACGAAAAGTCTATAGACTTGGTTTACTGTTTTTACTTTCAGCGCATAAAAATAAATAATATAGCTTGCAATAGTTGCACAGGCTTAATCATAAATGTAGAGGTTTACAGGAAATTTTCACACATAAATGACCAGGGGTTTTTTCTTATCAACGCTGCCGATAAAATTAAAAAGCAAACAGAACAATATTCAACGTTAACAGGCGATCAGCGTTAATAAAACTCTTTAAATTTCAATAAACTTATATTTTCATACAGTACGGTTTTAAAAAATTGCCGTCGTCAATAGGCGATTTGCCGTGGGGTCAATAATTGGTCCCGACGGCAATTTATGCTGTCGACGTTTTTGGCTAATTGTCAGAGCTGTATGTGACTATTGTTTTTGCCCACAATGGAATGAAAGTCATGACTCAACTCACTGGGTCAATTCAAGTCCTGGGTTAAGGTGGTGTAGTGTTTAACACCAGTTAAATCAGTGTAGCACTAGTGTAACGCTGTGCTAACTCAACCTCAGACCCCCTCTATATTTGAAATCAATCCGAGTTAAGGTCTGTGGTGTTGAGGTTGTGTTAAACATGGATATATTTACACAACAGGAACTTCAGTGTCGTATCTGTGTTGCCCAAACACTAAATATTTTCAAAATCAGTTTCCCGATTTAAGAAACAAATTTACATGAAAAAAAAAATATAAAGACAAGGAGCTTTGTGCAATATTATTTCTAATTACACAAAGAAATGTTAAATAATAATAACTTGATAAAAGTTATTATCTTGTTAAAAATAACTCTAACACTAACCTCTAGGGGTTAAAAATATCTCAGTTCAAGTCATTTATTACAACACTGGTGCGAAACAACAGACGACAAGAAGAGAATTTCTTTTAAGACTTTTAGATTTAGTTTTAAGGCTTAAAATGATATTTTTACCCACATATACCCAAAACTTAAGACAAAGAAATGTTGATCGCAAGCCTGTTGATTTACGAGAAATTTCAGTTAGGAAATTTCGACTGAATAATGATCAAATGGGACTACAAAAATTCTACATAGATCCTAGTTACTTAATTTCATGGAAGCGGTTATTTTTCCTCAATTGCCTTTCTTTTGCTGTTTTTTTTATAATCCCACATTTTCATGTGGATGTATTATGCCATTGCCCCTGGACGTCCGTTCGTCCACAATTTGTTTGTTGAAACTCAACAGGTCACATTTTTTATCCGATTTTAATTTTGACGAAACTTGGGATATAGGTCTGTCTCCCTAAGCTCTCGGTTCCTTTCGATATTGGCATATCGGACCATAACTTCCTGGATCATGGCTCCTGATTGTACGCAAAATCGCGTTTTTAGCTTGTGGACTCTCTAGAGGTCACAAGTTTTGTCCAATATTTTAAAAAACGTATAAATTGATCACCGTTACACCGTTTCGTGTAAATCGGACCAAAACTGTCGGATAAAATCGACGCCCCTCGTATGCAAATAATGTAAGAAATATAGCATATCAAGGTTGTGGACCTTCTACGGGCCACAATGTTTATGCGATTTTGATGAAACTTTAAATTTATGTTTTTATCACAAAGATCTTTGTTCCTGTTGATAATCGCGCATATCCGAATATAACTTTCTAGAATATGGCCACTGATTGTTCGTAAAATCGCACGTTTAGCTTGTGGACCCCCTCGAAGTCACAATTTGTATTCAATTTTAAAAACCGTTTACATGTATCCCCGTTACAAATCAATGAGGTTGAGTTCGAATTTTGTAAAGATCTGACCGAAACTGACAGACATATTGGCCGCTCCTTGTACACAGGGTTGTGGACACTCTAGAAGTTACAATTTTTATCCGATTTTGATGAAATTTGAAATGTATGTTTTTAATCTAAAGATCGTGGTCCTTTATGATATTTTCGCATATCGGACGGTAACTGGATTATGGCTCCTGTTTGTATGAAAAAACACTTTTTTTTAGCTTGTGGACTCTCTAGAGGTCACAATTTTTTTTATCCAATTTTAAAAAAAACCTTATAAATTGATCACCGTTACACTCTCATGACGGTTGAGTTCCAATTTCGTGAAAATCGGATCAAAACTGCCTGACAAAATGGCCGCTCTTTGTACGCAAATTGTGTAAAAGTATGTAATATGAAGGTTGTGGACACTCTAGCGGTCACAATTTTTATCCAGTTTTGATGAAACTTAAAATAAATGTTTATGTTCTCAGTCCCTGTCGATATTTGCGCATTTCAGACCATAACTCTCTGGATTATGACCCCTGATTGAACGAAAAGTGACTTGTTTTTAGCTTGTTCTCTATCCATCTCGTGCAAAAGTTGGGTGGGCGTATCTTGCCTGGCAACCGCTGTTTTATTTTAGTTGGGCAGCTCATCCAAATAACGGAAGACAAAAACACAGTGCAACATTTAAAGATAACACTAGTGTTATAGGTCCTTTTTATTTTCCACCAGTGTTAACACTGGTAATAACCTAGTTTAGACACTGGTGTAAACACTAGTGCTAAATCGAGGGGCTCAGGTTAAGGCACTAAAAAGAACACCAGTTATACACCACTACAACACAACCTTAACACGAGTGTAACTCGGGACCTGAATTGACCCAATGTATACAAACTCGAAATTGGGTCAGATTCAGGCTTTTAGATTTAAGTTTCTCGGACCCTTCAAATTTTCAAGCCTGAGCGGGGGTCCGGACCCCCTGCCCCCCCCCCCCCCACTGGATCCGCGCCTGTAATCTGTCCATCTCTTGCAAAATGTGGGCGTATCTTGCCTGGTAACCGCTGGTTATTGATTAAGTCAAAAGTTACATCTATCTGATATTACACTACATGTTATAATCTATGAGGAATGTAGGAATTATGGCCTTGTAATTATCCCAGACATCAACTTTACGTACACGTGTCAATACACCCTATGACATGTCGAGGTACATGTAAAATTGTCTCATTGTTTAGTATCTTTTTGTAGAGATTGGAAATTAATTTTCATATTCAAAATCATATTTTATACGCCACACGAGGATTAAGGGGATAATATTTTGATTTAATTTTGTTATAATCAATAACCGGTACTAATGAATTTTAAAATTCAGTTGCACAAGATGCAGAGCTCTTTATCTGGCCCCAGCCTATAATATCCCTTGCTTTCAGATTAAGGAACAGATGCCTCAGACAGCCAATCTGAGGACTAGAACAAGAAGGGAGGATATCTGGGCCCTTCACCAATAAAACTTTGATAATTACATGGTGTCGATGAGATTTAGAGTGATTTCAACTCCATATATAAGAAAGAAAAGAAAAGAAATTGGTACTTTGATCACAACTTTTGCCTTTATGGCACTGATGATTTATGGGATGGCACAAGAATCATACAGTCTTAGTCTTTTTCCCCATGATAATAATTTTTTATTTCAGAGAAATATTTGAGTTTGACTTCAGTGCATTAATAAGCTACATGTATTATTTTTAATATATATTAACATACTAGATATAGCATATATATCAAGTTTTATCAAAATTGGATACAAAATTCTGCATTTATTGTATTACCAAGCTGTTTTTGAGTACAGTAATTCTACAAATTACTGGTACAAAAAAACTGTGTTCAAATTCAAACTCCTCCAGGACCTATAATGCATATTGCATACTCTAGTAGTGAATCGGAGATATACAAGTAGGGGATTAGAAAACCTATAAAGGTAAGCTTATAATTTATTTTTAAGGAAGAAAATATTCATATAATTTTTAATTTATGTATTACATTTATTTCAAATACATTTGTGTACTTTTCTTGTTACGTAAAAATGGAATGACATTGTAATTTATCACATTCTAACAATTAAGTGTTTTCTTAAATGCTATAGCCTCCATAAAAATACATTATTTAACAATATACATCTACATACACATATATTACAATTAAAAGTAATTATGTTTAAATTAAATAAATAAATTATATCACAGAAAAACATTTGTTTAAATCTCACCAATTTAATCAGACATGAGTTGCCAGGCAACAACTCTCTTGTCCAGATCTAATAAAAACTTTGTTACAATTTCAATGTTATGCAATGCCTTTATTTAGCTCACATTCAGGTATTTTAAAGGTATTATGACACAATAAAGAACCAATACATATTCTCAGGCAAAATTAACAGGCATTAATTAGATATGTTTCAGACAAAAGTTCTATTGTTGTACATTTTTCATCAATAAATTTGGTCAGCAATTGTACAGCAATCCTTATCTTAAAGGTTCCTACATGTCTATGATGAAAGGCATATAACCATACCTTTTTGATAGATGTTAATAATCTAATTAAATTTGGTACGTTAAATTTTGTTTTGTTTATTTATATGATTCAAGTCTGATCTACTTTCCACCACAAATGAGTTCAGTAAGTAAGTATTGTTTGTATCGCTAAACCGACCACCATATATAGACACATCTTACCATAATTTCTCACAAAATTTGATTAGTCGAGTCAGTTCACGTGATCTTCTGAATTCCCGCTTCAAAGAAAATATGTCAGATTATCAAACGTTACCCGAGTACCACATTAAATGAAATTAAACAAATTGCAATTGACATCTGATATTTACAATGTCAATGTACTTACGTTTTAGCTTTATCTATATGTACACTACTGGACAATTTGTAATAATTTAAATTTGTTTCAAAATATAAAAAACAACATTTGATTCACTGTGGTTTAAAACCTATAGGTTGATTTGTGTTAACTACACTGTTAAATCTAGGTCTTTTCTGTAATTCATCAGCTTTGTCTAATACAAATTTTGATGACATACCAGGACTCCTAAAATAAGCAAAATATTCTATTTGAGTTTATTACATTATAAGCAATAAAATGTAAATCATTTGTAGTACAAATAAATATAAGCCCACTTTCATTTATTTTTCTTGTTATTATAATAGTACTGATAGTGTTATATCAGGTCTGGAAAGATAGCCACGCAAAGCATGGATATTGAGCAAATTTGGTAAGGATTCAGAATCCTTGAAGAAATCTAATATGTTAAAAACCTGACCTCTATGGTGATCACACTTTTTTGGCAAAAAGGGATAGCACAGGAATAAAAGGCAGCGGATTATGAATATCAATTTGGATCGATGACCCCAATACTTAAATCAAATTTTTTGAAAGAGGACATAACTCCAGAACAGAAAGGCACGGAAAGCTGAATATAGATAGGGTACATCCTCTCACGTTCAAAAGAATCCGTCGAAAACTATAGCTTTTATCGCGTTTACAAGGTTTTCAGAAAAGGAGGTATAACTCTGAAACGAAAAGTTACGCAACACTGAAAGTCAAAAAGGTTTATTCTCTCATGACCTCAATGCTTCTCGCCAAATTTGAAAACAATCTGTTAAAAACTATAGCCCCTATTGCATTCACAAGGTTTTCAGCAAAGGAGGATAACTCCAGAACAGAAAGTCACAGATGGCTGAAAATTGATACGGTTCATTCTCTCATGACCTCAATACTTCCCACCACATTTGAAAACAATCTGTTAAAAACTATAGAATCTATTGTGTTAACAAGGTTTTTGGCAATAGGGGAATAACTCTGGAACGGAAAGTTTCACAACACTGAAAATCATCTAGCATGTTTTACTTTAGTGAAAGAAGAAATACGGTGTTATCACAGTTATAATTATCGATGTACACAAATATACGTATACAGAATATTTAGTATAATTTTCAGAAAATAATATGAGTTTCTTGGCAATTTGAAATACTTACGACATCAGTATTTCCATTGTTTTTAGAGATTCTTTCGTCTTTTTATGATTTTTTCCTAACACCAAAGTTTCAATACCATAACACTGTAATCAAATAGGAAAGTTATTCAACTCAATAAAGAAATTTGAAATATAGACGGGGCACTTGTCCACCAGCAACAAAGTCGTCTGTCAATCTAAAATCATTGTCAACAAATACCACAGAGCAAGTTTTAAAAACTCTATAATCAACTAGCTGTTCTAAAATATATAAGTCAAAATATGAACTGTAAATAACTTGGCCATTATACATTTGAAAATTTACAATATAAAATTTGTTTAATTCAATAGGATTCTTCCTTATACTCTAGAGAGAGAGAGAGAGAAAGAGAGAGAGAGAGAGAGGGATGGGGTTTATTGTCCACTCGACACAAACGAGGCTATTTCAGGACTAACATATGGTTCAATTTTATTTCAATAATTCACTAATGCTTATGGGTCTTAAGCAGTGGGAGGAAACCAGACATAGTTGACAGTATAATATGTCCACAGTGGATGTGGATGTATAATGATAAACTAATGTCATCATAGGTCTCAAGATTATCAGGGACAAATTATGTGTAAATCAAATTTCTAGTATAGAAGACACAAGGTATTTTCAAGGGTTTTCAAAGTTATTGATTTCTTAATGTTTATCCCAAAATAGAGACCCATTTGTGTAATTTTAATTCTCACATAATGACTATATAAATCTTAATCTCAACCAGACTTGAGAAAAACTTATAAATCGAATTTACACAGTTGGCCAGTGAGGTCTCTAATGTTGCTTTGTGTACTGTATTAAATGGATAGGACTTTATCTACTGTGACAGATATCTTTGTTTGCCCTATTCTTAGAATAAGTAATTGGTAACATATTGACATTAATACATTCATCTCAGGCTCTTCTCACCCAAGGGAATTTACTCAGACGAAATACATTTGTACATTGCTTTTGAAATCTCTGGAGAAAGTAAATGATTAGAATTAAATTAGTCCACAATAAATACATACAATGGTTCTTTAATAGATATCAGCTCCTAAATGTACATTAAATATAAACTGACCTTTTTGTAAGCCTTAAGAGCTTTCTCTAAATTGCCCTGAGATAAGTGGACTGATGCCATTAGTTTATATGTGTCAGACACAGACTCCGAGTAATCTCCAAACACTTCACTTTTGGGATTTATACTGGATTTCAGTATACTCATTGCCTCCTGAAAAAGATTATTTAAGAAATAAAAACAAATTCCAATTATCCTAATAAAATCTAAAATATCAACAGAATGTATTAAAATGGTCAATTTCAACAAATGATTCATTGTACTGAATCCAATTATTAAATTAGATTTATATCTGAGTTACCTCTTGATTGTCTGTCCTAATCAGTAGACGGGCAAGCTCATCTTGAACTTCTAATGTTTTTGCATGATGTGGTCCATACACTATAGTACAGTTGGCAACACATTCATTTAGATAACTTTTAGCAGAATCTATAAGAAATAAACAAATTTTATATGTAATTGACCAAATACAGCCATATTAATCAACTTATTAAGAGGGATGTTTGTTATATATATGCATCGCTGTTCATCCATCCATCTGTTCATGATTCTTGTCAACACTCTCTATAGATTTGATTTTGGGAAAATTGAAACAAAACTGCCTGGCAAAATGGCCACTCTTTGTACGCAAATTGTGTGAAAGTATGTAATACGAAGGTTGAAGACTCTCTAGAGGTCAAATTTTTTATCTGATTTAGATAAAACTTAAAATATATCTTTATATCCCAATGATCTCAGTCCCTTTCGAATATTTGTGCATGTAAGACCATAACTTTCTGGATTATGGCCCCGCATTGTACGAAAAATCGCTTTTGTTTGAAGCTTGTTCTCTATCCATCTCTTGCAAAATGTTGGCGTATCTTGATGGTTGGTAATTGTCAAAGTCTACGGCTATTTTTAGTATATTATATGAAATTAATTACATTTATTTTCTTGTTATCATTCCAGGAATCATAATAAACTGTACTAACTAGATGCAAAAAAAAAAAGAAGTGAATTGCAAGTAGTAGTTTTACCTTCTGCCTCATCTTGGCCAGTATTAGCATAAGCTTGAGCTAGAGATAAAGCAGTATCAACAGACTGCATACTTCCATCTTTATAACTAGAATTAACAAAATATTACTTAAATATAACAGAAATATGTTTTCACATAAATACAGTTTAAGCTAAAGAACAGTGGCGTTCATCAGATTGTATTGTGTTATGAATGAGAAATGGTCAAATATGAACAGAACAAATAATATAACATTCCCATTGCTTCAAGAACATACCCTAAATGGTTTTATTTGTTTGGAATCTGGTAAACTTAAAACCGATCAGGTGTTATTTTCTGTGATTACAATAATAATATAAGTTAAAACATAGATATGACATCACCCTTTGATGTTTTTAACCATTATATAGGAGAATGTACGCTTTTCTTAAACAATCGTCTATTATTTATAAAACTGTCCATTATTTTCAATAAATAATGGACAGTTTTATAAATAATAGATAATAGACGATTGTTTAAGAAAATACCAATAGTAGACACGTATCTGAAAAATGAACATGTATTTTGGGATAATTTATTCTCTGAACAAATTAAATTACAAAAAATCAAATTACTTTAAAACCTCATAGTTACTGAAATGTCACATGGCCGAATGTTGATTTCACGTGTTTGTCTACATAAAGAATTCCACTTAAATCCGTCCGTTATATGTCACTTCTCCGTTTAATAGTACGTTTGGCACTAGATCGATGATACGTTTCTATACGCCCACATTTTCACACCTTCTTTGTGGACACTCTACAGGTCATAACTTGAAATATAGGTTTATATCCCAAACATCTCGTTTTCTTTCAATATTGGCTTGTATGAGATCGTAACTTCATGGATTATAACCCCTGAATGTACACTCTAGAGGTCACAATTATTAGCCCATTTTGATGAAACTGAACCCAAAGATCTCGATTCCTTGCAATATTGGCGCATATCGGACCGTAACTTCCTGGATTATGGCCCCGGATTGAACACAAAAACGTGTTTTGAGCCTGTGGAACTATGCAGGTCACAATTTCTATCCGATTATAAAAAAAACGTTCAAATATATCACCGTTACACCATAATGACAGTTGAGTTTGAATTTCGTGAATTGGTTTGTCCCTTTGATACTGTGTCACTGTCACTTATATCAGAGTATATATTAAATTTTAAATCAAAATTGGGACGGCCAGTACCCTCCATATTAACCACAGTATTAAGAAAATTATCAATATCTAAATCATTCTCGTGAGCAGCCTTTCCATCACAACTTTTGACGGCTATTATCCCCCATATCAAGAACATCACAATTTTTACGGCTATTCTCTTCCATATCGAGTACATTACCAATGTAACAAGCCAACAGTGAGGCTGATGTCCCCCGCCGAAATAGGAAAATAATTAGAGGACACATATAAATTTATCACAAATTATCTTTTACAAAGTATTGAACAATCAAACAGTATATCTTTACTTATAGTCTAACAATCAAAGTAGGAGAGTTATTGTTTTCCAAAGTCTCGACCAATCAAATTGCGTATCGCTCTGCTTACCCTGAGCAGAAAATGCTCATTATCAAACTTAGTCAAGGTATTACTGTAATGAAACTATACACCAAGTTTCATCAATCTCACTTAATTAGAACTAAAGTTATCGTGTCCCAAAGCATCAACCAATCAAATTGCTTATCTCTGCTTACCCTAAGCGGAAAATGCTCATCTTCGAACTCCATCAAGGCATTGACCTAATCAACACATACACCAAGTTTGAACATTCTAGCTCAATTAGGAAGAGAGTTATCGTGCCCCAAAGTATCAACCAATCAAATTGCTTATCTCTGCTTACCCTAAGCGGAAAATGCTCATCTTCGAACTCCATCAAGGCATTGACCTAATAAACACATACACCAAGTTTGAACATTCTAGCTCAATTAAAAGTTATCGTGTCCCAAAGCATCAACCAATCAAATTGCTTATCTCTGCTTACCCTAAGCGGAAAATGCTCATCTTCGAACTCCATCAAGGCATTGACCTAATCAACACATACACCAAGTTTGAACATTCTAGCCCAATTAGGAAGAGAGTTATCATGTCCCAAAGCATCAACCAATCAAATTGCTTATCTCTGCTTACCCTAAGCGGAAAATGCTCATCTTCGAACTCCATCAAGGCATTGACCTAATAAACACATACACCAAGTTTGAACATTCTAGCTCAATTAGGAAGAGAGTTATTGTGTCCCAAAAAGTGTGACGGACAGACAGACGGACGGACAGACGGACAGACAGACGGACAGACAGACGGACAGACAGACGGACGAACCCATTTTAATAGTCCCCTGCTTTCTTCGAAAGGCGGGGGACAATCAGTAGCCAAATGCTTATCACATATATTCTCATTATTAATATTTGTTTTCGACTGTGTTGTAAACATGTCGTCTTCATGTAGAATATTTTGGACTGTCTGTGTATGCTTGCATTGTATGACTAGAGTGTTTTGTCACATGCATTCATGAGCATGTGCATGTTGTTTTAAGAATATATCCATTATTTTATGGCTTGTTGTTTTAGAAAAATATCCATTATTTGTATCTCTATGGTGCTATGTTTTAAGTTTGATAATAGCCTCAGACTGTCCATTATGTAAATACAAAGAAAAACTTCGGGGCTAATGCCCCTCAGTTGTTCTTTCAATTTACATAATGGACAGTCTTCAGCCATTATCCATCACGGATAATAGTAGTTTTAAAATTTTTTGAAGACTAGTAGTTTTAAATGTTAACTTTCTCAAGATATTAGAAATATTTTTTTATCATTATTCACTCTTACATTTAATTGATACTTACTGACTTGATGCTATAGAATGTGCTTGTAGAAACTGTTCTATAGCCTTATCATGATTGGCATGTCGACCTTTACTTTGTTCTAAGTCCTGGGTGGTCAAGGAAATTAAAAGCAACAGCAATAAGTTGACCTTCCATAAACAAGTAAAATATATGCATTTTCTGACAAAAATGGACACATTAAACTAGTGGAACATGTCTAAACAGACAAAAAGTACAACTTAACCCTCTCCAACCATATGAATCTCTAAAAGTATATTTTGGAGTAACTTTTGGTATTTCTATCGAAAGGATGGGGTAAATTTGACTTTTCAAATCAGATAAATTTGGTACCTTTCCAAATCTACCCTTAATTGTGGTACTGTTAACAAGACAATAGGACGACATTTAATAAACATACAAATATAGTTTCACAGTTTACAAATTTTCAAAATAAAGGATATTCTTCCATATTCCTGATAAACAGGTATTAACTGTAAGGCATCTTCACCATATCTTATTTTCATAAGTTCTAATGTTTTATCATAATCAGCACTAGCTAGAGCATACTTCTTCTGTTTACCATGTAACCTGTCCAAAATGAAACAAAAAATCAAAATCAATTTCCTTCCAAAAATAGGGCCACAGTGGTTGTGTGGTTAAGACCCTGGTCACATAAATAGAACGTTCCAGAATCGAATCCCATCATGAACTGCAAGAACCTTCAATTTTGAAGCCTGGTCTTCATTTGTCAGAAGAGGCTCTAGCTTGCCAAGCTGACAAGGAAAGTGTGTCTAGTTATTTGATTGTGAAAAAAATCTGAAGTCTTCTAGACAAATAAAAGAACACTTAAAAGATGCCATGGCATGTGTGAATTGGGAAAAGTAACTAGTGATGGTCCAATAATCAGTTTCAACATCGGTAATTGACAGATAAGTGGCCCATCGGGAGAAATCGGTATCAGTCGATACACGGCCATTTTGCTGATACTGTTCAAAACGACTTGGTATACCTTTAAAATATTATCCGAGTTGAGAACAAATCATTATTTTGCTTGACACACGGTACATCTAAATAGCCACCCGCACGGCAACCGAAATAAATTTTTTATATATCGGTTGCCGTGTGCATTGCTATTTAGACGTACCGGTAATATAAGACTCTCATAGGGGCCGTAAAAAGGAGGGAATAAACAGTACAAAATCCTTACCGGCCTCCATTATTTTTCAAATCCTTATTCACACACTGTTTGAATGTGATTTTTTTAGAATACCATTAACGTACAACAGTCCACCCGATAAAACTTTTGATTGGAATAGGTAATAAGCCAATTGCATGATGATCAAAATCATAGAATTGGAGAACACAGTCAGTACGTCGCGGATCTGATCTGTTTTCAATGCATGCTGATATTACAAGATCACAAACTAGAACAATACCTAATAAGGCTATTGAATTTTTTATTTAAATTGTTTCTGATAAGTAATAACAAATTTATTAACCATGAAATAAACAAAAGTCCTCACAATAGTTATTTGTCTATCATGATTCACGATAATAAAACTAAAGCTGTCAACAATGGCTTATCATTGCATAATGTACTGGTATATGAAGTGTTGCAAGTCTTACATTCAGCCTTACTTTTGCTTGACACACGGTACATCTAAATAGCCACCCGCACGGCAACCGAAATAAATTTTTTATATATCGGTTGCCGTGTGCATTGCTATTTAGACGTACCGGTAATATAAGACTCTCATAGGGGCCGTAAAAAGGAGGGAATAAACAGTACAAAATCCTTACCGGCCTCCATTATTTTTCAAATCCTTATTCACACACTGTTTGAATGTGATTTTTTTAGAATACCATTAACGTACAACAGTCCACCCGATAAAACTTTTGATTGGAATAGGTAATAAGCCAATTGCATGATGATCAAAATCATAGAATTGGAGAACACAGTCAGTACGTCGCGGATCTGATCTGTTTTCAATGCATGCTGATATTACAAGATCACAAACTAGAACAATACCTAATAAGGCTATTGAATTTTTTATTTAAATTGTTTCTGATAAGTAATAACAAATTTATTAACCATGAAATAAACAAAAGTCCTCACAATAGTTATTTGTCTATCATGATTCACGATAATAAAACTAAAGCTGTCAACAATGGTTTATCATTGCATAACGTACTGGTATATGAAGTGTTGCAAGTCTTACATTCAGCCTTACTTTGATCCCTGCACTTATCGGGAAATTGTTCCAAATCTTACTACTTCGTGACATTTTTTCCTTCGTTTTACCTAGTTCACTGCTGTTATTGTCTGCACACTATCATAATGAGTATAACTTTTGGATAAGGTGGGAAAATATCACATGGTTTACGCCTGATTGGAATGAAGGATGAAAGGGGGGGGGGGGATATTCTTTTGATGACACGTGATAATTGTCAGACATTCCGACTTTTAGATGCCGATAAAAATTAAAAATTAATTTAGTGATTTGTATTGTTATGCTAGGTTACTTTAAATTTTTTTACATAATTTGTATCAACAAATAATAAATCATAATATTGATCATACTTTATTAATTAATAAAATTACCTACAAATTAATTCCCATTAGATGTTTTATTTTTAATTATAGTTCTAGAAATGGCAGGAGAATGTCACTTGATTGCCCCTGTTGACAGACAGGTCAGGAAGCTATCACTTTGATGTATCATTCATTACAGCATGAACCATTCTGACATCTATTATAGACATACAGGTGCTGATCACTTTTGGGAATTAAATCGTAATCAACACTTAAAATATGATAATCGCGACTTTATTAATTAATGATACAGAAAATAATTAAGTTCATAAAAGATGGGGTGTATTTTGGATTGTGTAAGAAGCCTGACACAGCGTTCGTGTTTGAATCCACGGTAAAATAGTACCATACGTTTCCCGACTAACAATCACATAGATTATCATGCCATTCGAGATATTTTAATGGGTAATAGTTTTATATCCACCACTGTCGGTAATTGTATCTGTATCACCCGATATATTTCGCTGTCAATATCTGATATTGGTAAAACCGATAGGTGCCATATCAGACCATCACTACATGTAACCAAAACAAATTACCGTGTGAATAGTGTGATAGTCTCAAAAAAAGTTAAAGTGTAAACAAGTCATTAAACTCCACTTCTTATATTTAATTCCAAAAGTCATCAATATTAATACAGAGACATGGTCATCTTGGAACTAACATGGTAATATCATTCGTTTATTAAACTGCATGCTCTTTAACAATAGAGGTAACAGGGGAGAAAACCCAAGAAGTTGGACAAGTGTTTCTACTCCTTCTCACATTCGGCCAACCAACCCTTCAGATATTATTTACACGGGCATAGTTCAAAAGTAAGTTTACCTTGCACTGGCTAGTGATAAATTTTGATTAATTTCATCCATTTGATCAACAGTTACACAACTTAATATACTTCTTTCTTCAGCTATTCTGTTAGACTTAGTTAATGCCTGTTCAGCTTCATTATATGTAAATACCGTTATGGATGCATAATTAGATACATAGATAGACTATAAATTTTTATATAAACAAGTCTTCTTGACACATAAATTCATCAGAGAGCTTCTAGCTGACAGAATATGTAAATTCCCTCCTCCACCCCCCCCCCCCCCACACAAAAAAACAACCCCAAAACAACATAATACAACAACTACACTGATAGTATGTATGTACATAGACATCAAAACAAACTCTTTACCGGTCTATTGAATTTCTTGTGTGTTTTATAAAGGATATTTTTTCATACTTGTATAGGTTTTTCCAAGTGTATAGTAAATTCTTGTCAGAACATGATAAATGTCTGCTTTTTCCTCCTGGGTACTAGTTGTGTGAATTCCATGTAACATCACATTCTTAGCATTTTCAGAATGATATTCTGCTTGAGCTGTGTAATCTGAAATTACATTAAACAAATGAATAGTGTGGCCTCAGCATTAATCCCAAAATAAATAGATGATCATCATAAATCGCTGGTCTAGAAGTAGTACATTTATGATTTTTGTAAAGCATCAAGCAATCAAATTACTTATCACTATGTTTAACCTGAGCAGAAAATGCCCTTTAGTCAAGGTATGGATCTAATGAAACTACACGTATACACCAAGTTTCACCACTCTCACTCAATTAGATTCAAAATTATTGTGTTTCCAAAAAGAACCCCCAAAACATAGTCTAATTTTAATTACCGATGAAATGTAATTAATGAACTTACCCTTCAATTCAAGATAGGCTTCTGCTAAATTAACATGACTCTCAGCATATTTCCAGTGATTATTACCATAAACTATTCTTGATAAAGCCAAACATTTTGTATACTCATGTATTGCTTTATCAGCCTGTAAGACATCAAGATTAAAGATAAATAAACTACAAATATTAACCACAAAAGAGAGATTAGTTGCCAAGAAACTAAACATACACCTACAGCAGCTAAGACGTCCGAGAGGTCCACAAAAGATGTTACATATTTATTTTTTTGTAGGTAATTTGAGCATTTATATAATACTAAAAACTGATCACTAGTAAAAACCTAATTGATTGTATCTTAAACTGTTTGAGTTATTGGAATTCATGTTATAATTTCAAATCAATCAGATAACTTTAGGCTCTAGAATGTCCACAAGTTCAAATTGATAAAGAGCCAGTATACTGAAAATCATCTCATGAACATGAACACTTTGTATAAAGTTAAAGTTAATCTGTGGATAAATTGAGCAATGAAGTAATTATGAATGAGTGACAGATTGACTAACAAAAGGATTGATGGATGGAGGCAACGACAAATTTCAATGTAGGCATATAAGAAAACTGAAGAATTTCATCTATTTAATGGGTCAAAATAACAATTTGACAGAAGAAGGTCAATTCTATTTGGCTTAAGAGCACACTGTGTTCAGATGTTGCTACTTTATTTGAACAGTTCAGATCTGAAGAAGGCTTTTTAATATTACTTAAAGATACATTATGGGAGATTTTTATAGAGAGTTGGCCATTCTTGCTATAACAGTTCAAAAGTAGATGATGAAAAAAGAATATATTGAAAATTTCAGTCAAATTACTTTATTCTGAACATAGTTATCATCGTTGTAATATTTGACTAGAAATGGTAGTGAAATGTGCCTTAACCTTGGCCGATCGTTTGATTGACAGGCGTTAACTCCACCTACATATCTCGATTATCAAGTAAAGTTTTCAATGGCATGCGGAAACGCTCTACAGCGGCCTCGCTAAGTACACTCTATCATTTAGCCTCGATCTAACTGACGTATTCTCATCAGGGTGCGCCATATTTGATTTAATCAATAAGTGAAATCCTATTTAAATCCGAGCTATAGCCGAGCCATCCGTGGGTCTACAGAGTTGATTTTGGGCTTGTTGTTTAACCCCTTAACTGCGTAGTTTTTAAAACATTAACTACCCCCTATTGCGTAATTAATTTGACGAAAAACGTCCTACACACGGTGAGTGGCAGTTGTCCAGGACGTTATATAACGCCCTACGCATTTAACGGGTTAAATAAAGATCTAATTTATTATTTCTATAACATCTGAAGCCTAAATTAAGACTTGCAACAATCAGATTTAGCTCTTGCATAATGTATGTTTAAATTTGCCCCTGCTCATTTGAGCCAATGTGAAAAAACACCACCTTGACAACATACCTACCAAATTTTGTCAAAATCCATTGAGCTGTTTTGTAGAAGTCAAAAATGTTAATTGTCTAAGTCAGACCGAGGAATGCTTGACCGAAGAGATAGCTGATTGCCCAATAATGTGGTAGAAATAGGAGACAACATCTTAATAATAAAATACTAACCAGGATAATGATATTTAGAATGTATTGTTGAAGGAGATGGCATTGTATTATTGTGGTCCTTTAAACATACATTATGCAAGAGCAAAATCTGATTATTGCAAGTCTTAATTTAGGCTTCAGATGTTATAGAAATTATACATTAGATCTTTATTTAAACAACAAGCCCAAAATCAATTCTGTAGACCCACGGATGGCTCGGCTACAGCTCGGATTTAAATAGGATTTCACTTATTGATTAATCCAAATATGGCGCACCCTGATGAGAATACGTCAGTTAGATCGAGGCTAAATGATAGAGTGTACTTAGCGAGGCCGCTGTAGAGCGTTTCCGCATGCCATTGAAAACTTTACTTGATAATCGAGATATGTAGGTGGAGTTAACGCCTGTCAATCAAACGATCGGCCAAGGTGAAGGCACATTTCACTACCATTTCTAGTCAAATATTACAACGATGATAACTATGTTCAGAATAAAGTAATTTGACTGAAATTTTCAATATATTCTTCTTTCATCATCTACTTTTGAACTGTTATAGCAAGAATGGCCAACTCTCTATAAAAATCTCCCATAATGTATCTTTAATGTAATTGGAAACTATTCTTTCAATAGTTTTATTATAGTGTTTAGTATTCTACAAAACAAAATAATTAGCTATTATTTGTCACTATGATATTTACATATGGAAACAAACCTTTTTATTAGCTGCTAGTTTTTTAGCTTTCAATATACAATTATGTAATTTTTGATCTGGTGGGGTCATATCAATGCTGATCTTTTTACCATTGACTGTCTTAACTTTTCGTCGGGGAGTATTTGTTCTATTTCTAGTTGGAGATGTAGGACTAGATCTATTTCTATTATCTTCATCAATATCTTCTTCATCTAATTCTGAACTGAAATTTAACGGGTTAATAATAATGAATCAATTGTTGTTGACCACTTTCATAAGAAATAAACTAAATATCTAGTAATAAGCTATCTTTTCATGATGGATATGATCTACACTTTATCAAGTAACAGTTTTAACCTGATGGAAATTTGAAAGATATTAAATGACCATGTGAAAAGCAACTAACATGAATAAAGTTTAGCATGTTAATATGCCCTACTTGTTTTTGGTTATCAGTAGCAGTAGCAGCCATATATAATTCATATTGAGGCATGTCAGTACAGTATTTGAGAAAGGGTAGAGCAGGATTATATGCCCTGTGAAGAATAATGGCACAGATGTAATACTATTTGGTAATGTAGATAAAGATGGGCGATTTGGTCAGTTATCCCTTTTAGCAGTGACTATAGTTTCGTTCTAATCGAACTCTTCAGACTGATTTATCTCACTTGGTGGGGTTCTATATATACTGTATGGAAAGCCCGGTGAGATTTCCCCGGGGTTTGAGTTTAGGCGGGGTTTAACGGGGTTTAACAGGGTTTGGGATTATACCGGGTAGTGAAGGTAGGAGTAGGGCCTAAGAAGTCCGGGTGGAGTTTAAGGCAGGGTAATATAGTTGACCAAAACTAGAAGGGGTGTGTATAGGAGAGTTAGCAGAAGGGAAGGGTCTAAGTGAGACCAAGGATAAAGGATTGAAAAGAGAAAAGGCATAGCGATAAAAAATAAGTTTATGAGGGTTTATTAATCATAACCCAAGCCCGAAATGATAGATGAATTAAACAGATCAGTGTCCGATAACTGGGATCTGAGAAAGGGGTCCTATCTATTAAGGTTGTTTCCAGCGGGACTTGGAAGAGTTGATCCAAGTGCGGATCTTTGTTTTTCCAAATGTCGCTCCTGCAATGAGGTTCGGGGAAGTTTCAAAATCCCAATTATTGAGGGAAGGAAATGGCTGCGACTGTGGCAGTCGAGCAGGTGGTGGTTGGGGTATCTTGTTCTAATTCTCCAATGGTGTTGTCTATGGCTATTTGGAGGGGGTCAGCTACCATGGCTGAGTTCTCGGCTTCTTCCAAAGGTCTGTTGCCTTTGCACCGGTGCTTCTGCAGATATTCTTTTCGTCTAAACTGGTTACCGCAGTCTCCACACCCGTAGAATGTTGGATGATGCCTTTCCCTGGCATGTCTCAGAAGGTGACTGAATCTTTTGGAATAAACTTTTCCACATTCGTGGCAGGCTTCTATCTTGTTTTGAAATGCGGTTGCTATGACGTCAAGTAGGCCATTGTGATGTAATGTTCGGGTAACATATACGTACAGGAGTAGGCCCTATATTAGAAATAGGGGATTAGTGCAGCCCCTGTGAGAGGGTTAGTAGGCTAAAAAATCCAAAGTTGGAGCACCCAGTGGAGGGTAAACAAAGGAAAAATGAGGGGGGTGCCCAAGTTCAGATTTTGTCATTGATACCGTATGGTTGAAAAGATTTCAATCTAATGATCCAATGAAGTTCTATGGTGCGTCTATTGGTTGTAGATTTCTGGAGGTCTGGATTGGTACCCAATTGTTTAATTATTTGGTATTCAAAGTTTCGACTAGAGTGGCTCGGTAGGTGGAAGTGGGAGGCAACTGGGGTGTCTCTTTTGTGGGTAATATCAGCATAATGTTCCTTCAGTCTAATTCGAACCAGTCTTTTTGTTTCACCAACGTATTGTTTTTGGCATAGGTTGCAAGTTAGTAAGTAGATAACATTTTGATGTGGCAAGTGTAATTGCTGTGGCAAGTGTAATTGCTATGGCAATTATAGGATTTGCCTGTTTTGCTAGAATAAAATGTTTTCTTTCCTTTTAACGTATTGCAATAATTGCATTGGTGATAGTTACAGGTGGATTCTAAATAATTGTAACTTTTCCTACTTACTTGAGGTAAGGGTGTGGGGTCTTTAATAGTTGCTGAAGTTAAAAGATCTTTTAGAGACGGGTTGCGTCTATAAGCTGTAAGGCAGAGTTGTGGAAAAACAGTCCGGCAATCTTTCGAACTATGGGGGATGTGCCAGTTACTCCTGATGATCTTGCTGATGTGGACCGAAGTTGGATTATAGTCCGTTATGAAAACTGGACGTTTGTTATCCTTCGGTGTGGTTTTTGTGTTTAGGAGGGTTTTCCTCTGAATATTATCGCATTTGTTTCGGTTTGATTGGATAGTATCTCTTGGGTAGCCCCGTTTGAGATAATACCAGGATGTCTGCATGTTTTTGGTAATCCGCTGGTTTAGAGCAGATATGTTTAAGTCTAAGAAATTGACTATACGGTCCCTTGTGTTTTATATGTGGTGGGTGACACGAAGTGTAGGATAAGTAAGAGTGTGTGTCTGTCGGTTTGCAGAATAGGTCAAATGTGAGTTTTTTTGTGTGGTGATCAAAGCTTACCATGGCGTCTCAACAGGACACATTATTCGTAGAGTGTTTGGCTGTGAATTTAATTGTTTTATGAAAACTGTTCATCAGCTGTAGGAAATCTTGTAGTTAAGAATATCCATGTGTCCAGATAAGGAAGATGTCATCTATAAACTGGACGAAGACTAGAGGTTTAAAACAAGCGAAGCTTGGGGCAACTTTAGTCCCCATGCTGGTGCCTCCTATATGGAGGTAATGTTTGTTGTTAAAAACAAAGTTGTTTTTGGTAAGTACTAGTTTGAGTAGTGCGATTAAGTATGTGAGTTGGATTCTTCAGTCTGGTTTGTTAGTAATGATACTTTTGGCTATGGCTCTAAGGCCTTCGTTGGTGGGGATGTTAGTATGCGAAATCGCATTAGGCAAATATTAAGTCCACCAGAGGACATGATTTATAATCTGATAAATACATGTTTTATTTTTCTCCATTGTCAAAATATTAGCTATGGTGTAAGTTTTTTTAAAAGTCAAATTAAATTGTTTATGAAATATTGTGAAATAACAGGACATGGGGTCTAAGGCCAAGGATAAATTCTATTGTCTAGAACACTTGTGTGATTGTGAGGACTATTCCATTGTCTATTTAAGGATAGTACCCACGTAATTAAGCCAATCATTATAATTAATTACGTCATATTTGGCCAATTAAATAACAGATAGTCGAAACCCAAGCATATACAACGCTAGATCTGTGCAACATAATTTCAGACATCAGGCAGATTCTTAGAAGAGAAGATGTAGCAAGTTCTCTCAGCAGACTCGCTATAGTGAGATTTCAGCGTGAAATTTAAAGAAAAGTTTTAATGGCTGAGATAAAATATATATATACACAACGTCAGTTCTAAGGAGAAAATAAGAAATGATCACAAGGCTAATAAAAATGGAGCAGAGGAGAGAGTGTATGTGTCACACGTTGGATGTGTGGGGAGTTTTGGGGTAAATTGTCTTTCCACATCTATCCAGCGACTCATAGAACTGCATCATATCATTTGATTTAGTTGCTGTACTGCATAGTGATACACAGATAGTGACAGTCTGTACTTACTTCGATTCAAATTCAGAATCATAATCTTCATCATCGTTATCACGGATCCCATTTCTAGAATTATTACGATTATTACTGATATCAACAACAGGTAATATTGGGTCTATTTCTCCATCAGACATATTGAAAACTAATCTGAAAAGTGAAATGGAAACTATTAAATCTGTATATTATATTAGTAAATCTTTGGCATACCACTTTATTTGATCTGCATATTAAACATACATTATGCAAGAGCTAAATCTGCCTATTAGTTAGACATTTATTAACAAAACAAGACCATAATCGACTCTCGATGGCATCGGATACTCAAGATTTTAACTAGATTAAACGGTTCGCCATTTAAAAATTTAATTTAAAAATGGGAAAGGGAGGCTAAGTCCTGATTATACCAGTGCCCTGGTTACCACTGTGCACACATTTTGTCAAAACTACAAACAATGATAACTTAGCTCAGAATGAAGTAATTTGAATGAAATTTGTCCTTTTCATGTTACCATATCTAGTTTGTCTAATTAGCCTAAATATGATAATTCTTTTATCGGACAACAATTCAAGGTATTATTATTAATCAAGCAGGAGCCTAAATGTATCAGTTATTATGTATAGGGCACATCAGTTCAGGAAATAAGGCACAGTAAAAGTAATGTCTCCTGAAAAAAAGTAATTTGATTTGTGAGACTTGATAACTTGATTGGAATTTTTTCCACAGAAAGGAGCAGATTATTCTGTTAAAAACAGTCAACAGTGTATTTGGATAGGCAAGTCGAAAGATAATTTAATTTAAAGGATGTGCTCTAGCTTAACAATCCGACCGAGTCGAATAGTAGTGTGAATGAATCTGAATATCATTATTATCTCATTTCTTCTAGAAAGTCAAGGCTTGAATTGAAAAGGAAAATCTCAAAATCCAATAAATTATTCTGATTCATGAGATTGACTTCATGAATCCATCAGCTGATTTTCAATCAGCGAATGAATTACTTATTTCATCATCCGTATTATAGTCAGTGATATTTTGGATAAGGTGTCAAGTCCTTACATATTGTAAGATTATTGTGATCCAAAAATACCCAGCAATTTTGTCAGAATCTTTGTTTACATCGGCAACCACCATAACACAACAGCGCCACCTGAGTTCGGAGTTTCGTATTTTATCTATATATTGTTCTTTACATATCTTTTATTATGGAAGAAAGTGGTTAAAGTACATAGGAAACATGTTTTATTAACGCAAAACTAAATATCTACGGGGTATTAACACAAAATAAAACAATATTTATAGAAATCTATTTAAAAAATAGTTTAGAGTGACCTCCCCTGATCTAGGTGACGCGTTTCGTTTTCCAAAACAGAAACAAGCACATGCCGGTGAAAGATGAGCGTTGTAAGTAATGCCTTTTGCAATGTATAATTTCATGTTGTCAAATATATTGTGGGCAGCTCATCCGTGAAGCTCATGTACTATCGATTTTTAACCATGTTTATTAATTCCCCTGAGAGGATTTTACAATACCAGAAATAGATTGTTGTGTATTTTTATCTCTACTTTCACTTTCACCCACATCGAGCTAGTCCAGCAAATAATATATTATGCAACCAAAACCACTGATAACTTTTTACATAATTCACTAGATTTCTTTTGAAGTAGTGATATCGAAGAGTTCCTGATATGGTACTGTATGGTTTTAGTGCTAAACAGTGAAATCATCTATTCTGTCTGTCACGGAGTCAGAAGCATGGGGCATAGTATTAGTACCAGTAGTAGTAGGCCTAGTTCAGCGCTGAACGTAGGTCTCATTACACTCGCCCCATAGGTTCAGAAACCGCCGTATTGAATCCTTGTTGAAAAAGGTTCGAACCCCAGTCAATTTTACTGGGCATCTTTTTACAGCTAAACGGTTGTGTGTCAATCCCTGTGAACGCCTGCACAATGTAAAGGAATATTTTAGTGAGAAAATAAGACCTTGCTTACCTCGCTAGACTTAGTGTGTGCGACACAACATGCTGTTAAAAATAGGTCCCCTTCTGCTAAACGGCTTGGCAGAAGTCATTGAAATCTAAATATAGGGTAACATACAAATTTACATGCACAAAATTATATAAAACCAAACAATATTTAGATATTTGATAAATGGTTATTGTACCATTTAATATATCGTCACTGTCATTCCAAAACCTCGTAGGTCAGCATTTGTTTCGAAAATCACTTTTTTTGCATAACTTAATTTATTAACATAAAATACATAAAAAAATCAGAGTTCTGCGATAAATAGTTTTCATTTTATTAGCGTGTGACCAAACCTTGTATCATATCCCTTAAGTAAATTACCCCTTAAACATAAATGTATTTACCTAGCTGTATACAATATCCCTCAATTAACTTAGCCTCCTGAACATCTAGACCTTTAATATTCCTCAAGATATTGTGCTTCTACTCTAGATCTACATGTACGTTGCATCTACACCTATCTGTTGCTGAAATTCGCACGTAACTTGCCGTTCCTACATACAACACTATATGTAGGAACGGCAAGTTAATGGTATAATACAATACTTATGATTTCCCTTCATTTTTATACTCAATTTATTTCTAGCAATGCGAATACAAAATCTCGTAAATCACACAGTTCTAATACAAAAATGTTCAGAAACCTCGTATCTCATAAGAAAAACACAGATTTGGGGGTGAAAACCTTGAAAATACTATTTGGTATAGCTTACTGTACTACCATTCACACATTTCTTTGTTTAATATTTCAGCATTCCCTTATATTCAAGCAAGAACAAGGCAAGTTTTGACATTTTTAAACGGGCAATTATTACACTCATAACTTCTAAATACAGGTACCACAACTAACTATAGATCTGATTAATTATTAAATCTATTTATCTAGTCAAGTCACCCAATTGTCACTAGTTGAAACCTCAGTCTTACTACAAGTACACGTGACAAGGAGTAGGGTCGCCTGTCCAACCTCGTGGGTTTTCTCCGGGTCCTCTGGTTTCCCCCCACTGCTAAAGACCCCTATGCGCAAGCGAATTATTGAAATGAAATTAAACCGTATGTTAGTCCCGAAATGACCTAGTTTGTGTTGAGTGGACGTTAAACCCCATTTCTCTCTCTCTCTCTCTCTCTCTCTACTACAAGTACACAGTTTGTATCGTTTTGAACGTTGTTAATGATTGGTTGATAAATTTTAATCTTTTTATTTCAGCCCACAAAGACAGCATATGGACATGTGCTTGGGGTAAAAATGAAAAGGATGGGATAGAAAATATAGTAACTGGTTCTATAGATGATACAGTCAAAGTGTGGAAATGGTAAATGATCATTTAATTTTATTGGTACACATTTTACATCTACAAAAGAGATTGAAATATATATTAATATGTGAATGGAACTGGGTTTATTGTCTCAAAGACATTTTACCTAGGTTAATTAAGACTAAGTAACAATTATTTTTATGCAATGTATGCCTTTAATACTACTCTACTTTTATAGGCACAATATAAAAGAAACTTTTTGTTTGAATTTTAGGGGAGATGAGAGGTTAGATTTGAGGTTCATTTTAGAAGGACATCAGTTAGGAGTTATATCAGTGGATATCAACCCAACAGGAACCTGTATCCTTTTATGAATTACATTCATTTAATTCGAGTTACTTTGACATTGATAATTTCTAAAGATTGATGTTCATAAAATATTGTTTAATCCTTAATACCTGATTTAGTGGCAGCAACAAGTAGTTTAGACAGTCATGTCAAAGTTTGGGATTTGGAGACAGGAAAGTTGGCTAAAAGTATTGATGCTGGTCCAGGTGATTATGTTCATTGCAAATTATTCAAAAGTTAAAGAAACTACACCTTTTTGACTTTGTCCAAAATGATGTTGGGATGATCTTAGTAATGTAGCAAGCTCTATGTGATTAAATTTTTGTTTGGAAATGTTAAGTTGTAATCAGCTTGTGTACTAATTTTAGTCTTAATCATGCTTACTGTGTGGATAGTGGAACACAAATTCAGTTACATTTCAACAACGGCTTTATCTGTAAAGGCAGATTGTTGTTTCACGAAACATATAAAATGATATAAACATTTTATTTTTGACTCACATCAAATTTTACGGTAAAAGAGAAACTATGTATATTACCTATGTACAAAAGATTGAAATTTACTTTGTAACATCTTATTTAGTTATATTTCCATTATTTTTAGTGGATGCCTGGACAGTTGCCTTCTCTCCAGATTCAAGATTTTTAGCATCAGGTAGTCATACAGGAAAAGTCAACCTGTTTGGTGTTGATAGTGGAAGGAAAGAAACTTCCATGGATACAAGGGGAAAATTTACAATGAGTATAGCATATGTATGTTACATCTTTCATGTCTACAAAATGATTAAATGAAACTTCTACCAATATTATGTATAAAAATCTTCTGTGATAATGTAGATTTGTAGAAGGAATTGTTGGTTAACAATATAATAGAGAAATGTGTTTATGTGCAGTCAAATTTTAAGTTTTCTTGTACTGAAGGTTCTTTTAGCCCAGTTTGGACTGACAAATCTACTCATGATTATTTATAAGGTCTAATTTGCATCATATTTTCCCCATAGAGATCAGCTAATACCAGGTAAAGGGATGATTTGGAATTACATAGAACAAGAAGTATTGCATTTATTTTAATTTTTCACTATCATTGGTATTGGTGTTTTTTCTACAGAGTCCAAATGGAAAATTTATTGCTTCTGGTGCCTTAGATGGAATTGTAAATGTTTTCGACATGACTACTGGAAAATTAATACATACGCTAGAAGGTGAGAGAAATTTCTCTGTGTAACAATTAGATTATCACACATGTACATTTCTATGTGACTGCCATCTTCTAAATATAATGTACGCTTGACAAAGTGCATGTACCTCCTTATTTGGAATAATGATACACCCACGTCAACAGTATGGCAGAGATAACATTAAACATCTCCATGTCAATTAATCAACCTGATATAAAATCTACATCCCTCTCTAACAGGAGGTGAGCCTAGTGGTAAGTGGCATCAGGATTAAGCTTGTATGGGGCCCCCCCCCTCGCTGAAAATGTCACTGGGGCCCCTGCATTGACAGTGAAAAGGGGGCATATTCTGATCATTGAACTTCACACTCGCATGGTAGATAGATTTATTTGGCACAAACATATACAACATAATAAATGTTTATAGCGAAAATTTCAGGGTCCCTATACTACTAGACCCCCTGGCTGTAGCCCAGTCAGCACCCTGTCCCACCTTTAAACTGACATTGATGGCTTTGAGGCAAAAGACAAAGAAATTTAGACGGCATTGTTACATGAAGTTGTTAACAAGTTGTAGAAAGTGTGTAAATACTGTTATGTTTATTTTTCAGGTCATGCTATGCCTATAAGATCTATCTGTTTTTCACCCGATTCTCAATTATTAGTGACTGGTTCTGACGATGGCCAGATAAAAATATATGATGTGTAAGTCAATAACTTTATGTTTTTATCATTAGTTAAACAAATTATGAAGAGATTGGATCGTAATTCTTCCATTATAATTAGTATGTAATAAATTCTTTTTATGTGTATACTGCATGGTCCGTTTCTGTAAGCAGTCTGTATCAAAAGCCATCCACACATTGTTATGTTGTATACTGCATCTTCAAATAAATTCCTCTCTAAAAATTATTAGAAATTCATTTCAGTACCAAGCAAAAAGTAAAATGTGTTAGTTTTTAGAACATTTAGATTCATCTACTATTTTTGGTGTATTTTTCTTTTTACAGACAACATGCCAACTTAGCTGGAACAGTATCAGGTCATGGATCATGGGTTTTAAGTACAGCATTTAGTCCAGATAATACACATTTTATCTCAGGGTAATTATCCATAATGTATAGTTCAGAAACATTGTGTTTTTTGTCCCCCGCCTTTCGATGAAAGCCGGGGACAATAAAATGGGTTCGATGAAAGCCGGGGACTATTAAAATGGGTTCGTCCATCTGTCTGTCAAACTGATCATTTTCTGCTCAGGGTAAGCAGAGCGATAAGCAAATTGATTGATTAAGACTTTGGAACACAATAACTCTCACTCTAATTGAGTTAGAATGTTCACACTTGGCGTAGGTGTCTATTGGGTGAATGAATTGATGGAGTTCGAAGATGAGAATTTTCTGCTTATGTTGGTCATTCTTGCTATAATAATTCAAAAATAGATGATGAAAAAAGAAAATATTGAAAATTTCATTAAATTACTTCATTCTCAGCCAAGTTATCATTGTTTGTAGTTTTGACAAGATGCGTGCACAGTGGTAACCAGTGCACTGGTATAATCAGGACTTAGCCTCAATTTCCCATTTTTAAATTAAATTTTTAAATGGCAAACCGTTTTAATCTCGAGTATCCGATGCCATCAAGAGTCGATTATGGTCTTGTTTTGTTAATAAATGTCTAATTAATAGTTTATATAACATTTCAGGCCTAAAGAAAGACCTGCAATAGGCTGATTTAGCTCTTGCATAGTGTATGTTTAATATGTGATCTTATGTATAAAACTATGTTTACACAAGGTTGTTACAAATGTAACATTCTTGGAACTGATCCAGGCCCCAAAAGAGATTTGCCTGATTTACACTACTGTGCATTAACTGAATTTTTCCTGATACACCATGAAAACAATATGGCAGGCAATTTGATTGACTGGTTTTTTTTAATTTTTATTAATGCTATTGAAAATAGGAAAAATGTTTGACGCTAAGGTAGGAAGCGGTTATCAGAATGAAATGCTGTACACTAATTTCTGTTCTGAGATCACATGACTTTAGCGGTCCATATTGGAATGTTCTCAGAACAGACCACTAAGTACTTACATTTTACTTAGTTCCTGTGGTAAACGGGTTAATAAATGATATAAGAATTATTTGAAACTGTATGTATATATTTCAGGTCATCAGATAAAACAGTTAAAGTATGGAATGCTGGTACAAGACAATGTGTACATACATTTTATGAACATACAGATCAGGTAAACTTTGTTCAAATTATTGTTTTTATAGAGAATATAGATAGCACTTTGTATTTTTCTAATTTAATACATTATGAAGAATAAATTTCTAAAGAGAGTTGAAATCATGAGTAATAGCCACAACTTTATCAAATAGAACATATAGTTTTAATGTTTGAGAGATGATAAAATTTTGGTAATATGAAAGTGTCGGATTGTTTAATTTATGGCAGACTAATTTAATAACACAATAACAATAATTTGTAAATATTTACACAGCAATTGATGAAAAGAATCTATTTTATTGTATGTTGGATTGTAATATTTTGTTTGGTATTTTGTTAACAGGTGTGGTGTGCCAAATATAATGGATCAGGTACAAGAGTAGTATCAGTATCAGATGACAAAGCTGTACATGTATATGATTGTCCTACACCAGTATCTGCTTAGCTATAAATTTTATATATATGTATATATGTATGTCATTGTAGATATTCTCATTCTTCACTTGTTGAACAAATCAATTGTATATTATTACATATAATAAATGCCATAAAATGTGAGATTGCTAATCAATTCCTGTTTATAATGTACTCTTGGCTCTCAGAATGTATGAAGGTGGAAGGGTTATTCCAGGAAGTTCAACAATGCTGTTCATATTTACTAAAACTTCCATCTTCATTAGCCCAGTCAGGAGCAGAATAGTAGAACGTTAAACCCATTTCATTTCATTTACTAAAACTTAAATAGTAGCTGAGGGATGGACTTTCATAGCAAATTTGGGACCAGAGTATGATCAAAGTAGTGCCTTCATGATTTTACAACTCCGGAACCCACTTTTCAGGAGTTCAGCCTCTATGGCGGAAAGGGTGCCCACCCTACTGTTCGAATGTATGAAAAATGGGATGCCAAGCAATGAAAATTTGCCACACAGCAGGTAAGTCATCCAGTGATCTTTACATAAATAAATAGAACAATCTTTATACTTTATTATATGACATAAAGCTTGAGCAACAAGTCTATAAATGATGATCAGAAATTGTTACAAGGGCCATAACTTCTAAAGAGTGTTAATAATATTCAACAAAGTGAAACAAGAACCTTAAAAGGAAATTGTTGAAATTCATCAGTATTATTAGTGTATATAACTGTCATACATGTAAGATGATTACTTTTGTTGTTAGAGCATCACAAGATTCTACAGAGGGAAACAAGGGCCATAACTTGAGAAGTAATTAACATAATTTGCCAAAATTCAAAGGGCTTCCTTGTTCCATTAATTTGAACTAGGATTATAAATTTCAAACTTCTTGTTAGGATTTTACAAAGGACCATATCTCTAGCTGCAATTGACGTACATTATTGAAATTCAGTACGATTTTTTGTTTCAATAATTTAAACAATGCAGGTAAGTTTCTGATGGATGATATCTTATGGAGTTAGAGAATTCACAAGATTTTACAAAAAAGTAAAATAAAGGTCATAACCTTAGAAGTAATTAATGGAAAATGTTGACATTCGGTAGGCTCCTTTGTCTCACTAATTTCTACCAACATAAGATTGGATGATAAATGCAGTCTATTCACAAAAAATTAACTGTGGGCGGACAGGGCAAAGACAATGTACAACCATGTGGGCGTATCAAAATGACATCAATCTGTGTACTCAGTGAAAATATAAGTTTTCTTGCTTCTCGATGAAATAAAATATGTTATTCACTCTAAAACGACAAATATCCTCTATATAATTTTTGACAAATCAATTACAACTCCTAATAAGTTCTTATTGGTAGTGATTTTAACCTTAAAATGTTAAAAACCACTGACAAGTTGTAAATAACATTCAATAGCACTAAAACACAACTTGTATGTATTATATTTATATTTGTGTCCGAGTGTTAGCTGATAATAATGAATACCATACCGGTATTACTATTACCTTGATATAAGGAAATAACACACACACTATCGATAATAAAATAGACACTTTATTTAACACATTTATTACTTGCCATATAAAATATAAACCTTGAGTATAAATACCCATTCACTTTTCATGATTTAAATAATATGCTTTTCTTAGCAAATTTTACATTTCATTAATTTTCATGTACCAGTGTTTATCACAGATTAATTATGTATTAAAATGGAGTTACAGTTGTTATGACTTGGTCTTCAAACAACTGCAAGATAGGTTGCCAGGCAATGAAACATACACCCTCAGCAGCAAAGTCTTCTGGGCAGTCAACAAGGGTTATCACATATTTTTACTTTGTCAGTGATGAAAACATTAACAACACACTAAAATCTGATTACAAGTAACAACCCATTAAGTATCATCAAAAACCATTAGACATTGTTTTGATTGTTTGTCTCAAAACCTTAAACACTGTGTATAAATCTATGTTAACGTTAACCTCTAGCGCGTAACAAGATTTCTCAAGTGATCAAGGACCATATCTCTGGCAGTAATAATCGGAAATCGTTGAAAGCAATAGGTTTCGTCTCATAACCTTAAACACTGTATAAATTTAAAGTCAAGCAGATATTCACTTTAACCTTTAGTGCATGCACAAGATTTTCCCAATAGACGGACGTGGGCGGCAGCAATATACGACCATATTTCAATGCAGGAGTATAAAAATGATTTTTTGGACAACATATAGCAGCCTACTCTCTAACATCTGCAATTGTTATACTTTCAAACAGCTACGAGAAAAGGATTTCAATCAAATGTAACCGCTTAATAAATGAAGCACATAATATTGAAATGCTTTGATAAAATAGAAAATTTATCTTGTAGTCAATTATAGCTCAATTACATTACATTTAATCAAAAAGCAAAAGAAACTAAAATATATTGGCACCCCACTTGGTATGTGTTAAGATTTATGTTTTAAACTTTTAGATTTTTTTATAAACATTTGCACATCTGTGTCCAAATTGAAATAAATTAACATGCATACAAACATAATTTTTTATAATATCTTATTTTAATTAAATTATACTTTGTTTAGACTTTAAAAATAATATCAGACTGACTCGATATTCTTCGACTAGTTCTTACTATAATTTTATATGTTTCAGATTAGACTTGATAGGTATTAATATTTATCTAAATTTGTTTAATCCACGGAGTCATGGTAGCTCAGTGAGAAGAACCTTGGCTCGCTAACGTGGAGGTCCTGTGTTCGATGCCTGCATTGGCCGAGAAAGTTCATCAGGATTTTCCGACGTGGTTCCCCCTTTTTAGTGTGAAGGATGGAAGGCCTGGCAAGGGACAATGTATAGTTCGGATGGGACGAAAAAACCAACGTCCTGTGTACACATTGGCGTGCACGTAAAAGAACCCTTGACAGTTTTAATTTGAAATAAGAGTATACCATGTAGTGCCACTGTCCGGGCAATATTTTTCTCATAGTACACTACATGGCATATGCCTGTCTGCATTAGCCCAGTAGTAGCAGAACAGTAGAGTGTTAAACCTCATTTCATTTCATTTTTGTTTAATCCACTATTATAGATCTTTATGTACACATACAATATTCATTACAAAAACAACATAAAGTTCTTTTTTTTTTTACTTTTTTACACAACTTAGAGAAGGCTTTTTTTAATGATCATTCAAAAAATTGCAAACATAATGAAAAAAAAAAGTTAGGGTATCTGACTTGCACAAATTAACATGATAAGCATAGCTGCTAACTCTTTACTATAGCCCACATTCAGCTTTATGAACTACAACTTTCAACATCTTGAATTGGCAAATTTTTCTATTAATAGCATGGCTGCTTAATCTTTACTATAGCCAACATTCAGCTTTATGAACTATCAGTTTCTACATATTATTATTACAATCATGGAGATTATATCACAGTACATTGCAAATGAGGATGGATGATTTAAGTATATAAAATTTGTTACATGTAACAAAATACTGTGATGATTTATTAGGATTTAAGTATATAAAAATTTGTTAAATAGTGATGATTTATGAATAATAAATTATTGGTGGAAGACAACATAACAATGATAATGTGCCCACTGAATAAACAATAAAAATACCCTGTTTTATTTCAGAATAAAAACACAATGTCCAGGACATTGACCAACCAATGCAATTTCTTGCCACTTTTATAGCCCATTGTTAGATTTGTTTTGCATATTTATGCATTTTAATAGGATGTACCCAGCAATCTATATAATGCTAGGTTCCCAATGTCGTGTGATGTGTTACAATAGGTTTCTCCCTATTGAGTCCACGATCTGGTGACAAGACAAGGATGTTTAGAACGGGCACACTGGGAGATACAGAATATTTTGTTAAGCAAAAAGTTAGTTTAAAAGCGACCATTATGTTCTATTTATTCAGAACTTTTATTTGATGCTCAATTAAACTTAGATTCCTATTTTGCCTTTTCAGCATATGAAAGAATAAAGATACAGTTCTATACAACTATTGTAATCATTATTTCTCCCCAAAAAATGTATTTTAATGGTTTCGATTTCAGGGCACATATATATTCCAGATACTGGGAGTGGGAAGCTGGTGTGCATAACAAAACTGATAAATGAAAAATTTCATATTTTCTTCAATTTTTCAATTAATTTTTGTGAAAATGTCAGATTTTCATGATTATGACCACCATGTTCATCGACCATATGAAAACTATCTTCAACTGTCTTCTTACAATAAGTAAAAAATAATCTTTCTGATAAACACAAGATGTTGTCTAAATCCATTTTTAAACTGAAAAAAAAACCCAACCAAAAGAGGTAAATAAAAAGACAGACAGACAAAACTTGTTTTATAGTAAAACAGCAAATGTTAATTTAAGAAAAATTTACTAGCTTTATAAATACATAATACATAAAATAAGTTGTATTTTGTCAAGTTGTTCAATATATCATCTAATCCACAGGTAACTTTATTCAAAGAGAAGTGTCAAAGAAAGACTGTAATATTAGTCAAAATATACTTCTCAGTAATCTACAGAAAGGATCTCAATTATATGGACTGGTCATTGAATAAGAGCTAAATCTGCTTATTGCGGGACTTTATTTTGGTTTCAAATGTTATATAAACTATTATCTAGACATTAATTCACATGACAAGCCTAAAATCAACCCTTTAGATCATTGGATATCATTGGATAGCCGAGATATAATTGATTAGAACACCTATGAGATTAAAAAATTTATCGATAAAATGGATAATTGAGTACTGTTGCTACTATAATAAACAATCTACGCTACATCTTGCCAAAACTTCAATTCAAACACAGTTCCATCGCTCAGAATCAAGAAGCATTATAGAGTTTCATTTACCATGCCAAATATTACTGAATCAATATAATAAAAAAGCTAAAGAACTAACTTACTTATTGATACAAGTAAACACCATACCAATGTCATTACATTTAAATAATTCTTCTCTACATTCTATTAATAATGCCACGCACATAAATACTTCAAATGTATATTCTTTGGGTTGTAAAGGAATAGTCCTTGTATCTCCTCCTGGAAAGATATAAGTAATAAAAAGGGAATAGCAACCAGTACTTTTATTGTCCAATAACTATAGGAAATATTTCAATTTTTTTATTTTTGGAATGAAAGACAGACAGACCTTACATATAATGATGCAACAAAAAGAAGAAATGAACTCTTTAAAATTTACCTGAGCTGGCAAATTCCTTCATTTCTTCCCTTCTAACAGCTGTTTCAGCTTCTATAGATGACAGTTCTAGATGATGACTACTTAAAATTTCAAAACATCTCAGAGAATCTTGAAAACTAAATTCTCTTTTAAATCCCAATAAGAGCCACCTAAAATAAAAGAAAAAATTAAATGAAAAAAAACAAACAATCCAAAACAACTAATTCCATTAAGTTAAATGCGTGATTTGCATTTTTCGGAAAATATCAAATTTCTCAGCACTTATTCCACACTAATATGTACTTAGATTGATTATCAAAATACCAATGCTTAGAGTCGATAGGATTTAAAACTGGCCCCATCAATTTGGTTCACAGCAAATAAAGATGGCAGCCATCTTGTTACATAGGGAGCAGCATAAATCAATGGAATTTTCAATTCGTCATAGTTTTATAATTACTGAACAGAATCAAGACATTTTTGGACTGATATTCCTATTAGAAATTCAACTTTCACAATATTATAGTTTGCAAGGGATTCGATGGCGCTAACATTAGAGTCTTTAATAAACCACAGCATGCCTTACAGGACCTTACTTTCTACATTTTACTAGCCAAATAAAATAATTAAATTAATACCTATGACAGAAAAATAAATTTCCTAATTCATGGACCTCAAAATGTTTTAACAAATAAGGGTCTATCTCACCAAGTAACATTTTAACTAAATCTGAAAAACAAAATTATGAAAAAGGAATTTTTAGTGATTTTCAAAATTAAAACATGCTTGTCCAGACGCCAGTTTTACAAAGCATTTTCAGACTTAAGTTAAGAATTTACTCAACTTTCAATCACTGTTTATGAGAATATCTTTGATCCAGAAACACAAAAATTTGCACATAGTTTCTTATTGATGTATTTGATACATCATAGCAACAAAAGTTTTATAAAGGGCTATATTTTAGTTAAAATAAGGCAAACAGTGTTGAGTGAATCCTTAACTTAAGTCTGAGAATGTTTTTGAAAACCGGGCCTGGTAGTGGTAAGTATAACTAGTGGCTGCTAGGCAGGATACGCCCACATTTTGCAAGAGATAGAGAACAAGCAAAACAAAAAGCGATTTTTCGGAAAATCAAGGGCCATAATTTATGAAGTTACGATCCGATATGCACGAATACCGACAGCAACCAAGATCATTGCGTTATAAAGCTATTATTTCAAGTTTCATCAAAATCGGATCAACGTTGTGACTTCTAGAGGGTCCAAAACCTTGATATACCATATATTTACACTATTTGCGTACGAGGGGCCGCCATCATTAGGGTGTAACGGTGATATATTCAAATGCTTTTTTAAATCGGATAAAAATTGTTACCTCTAGAGTGACCACAAGCTAAATACATGATTTTACGTAAAATCAAGGGCCATAATTCAAGAAGTTACGATTCGATATGCACAAATTTTTAAAGGAACCAAGATCCTTGGGTTATAAACATGTATTTCAAGTTTCATCAAAATCGGATCAAAATTATGACCTCTAGAGGATCCACAATCTTGATATACCATTTTTTTTACACTATTTGCGTACGAAGGGCGGCCATTTTGTCCGCATCATTATAGTGTAACAGTGATATATTCAAATGTTTTTTTTAAATCGGATAATAATTGTGACCTCTAGAGGGACGACAAGCTAGAAACGCGATTTTTAGTACAATCAGGGGCCATAAAACAGGAAGTTACGATCCGATATGCGCAAATATCGCAAGGAACCAAGATCTTTCGGTTATAAACATGCATTTCAAGTTTCATCGAAATCAGATGAAAATTGTGACCTCTAGCGTTTCCACAAGCTAAAAACATGTTTTTCATTCAATCAGGGGCCATAATCCATGAAGTTATCATCCTATATATGCCAATATCGAAAGGAACCAGTATTTTGGGGAGATAGACCTATATTTTAAGTTTCGTCGAAATCAGATAAAAATTGTGACCTGTAGAGTGTCCACAAACAAATTGTGGACGGACAGACAAACAGGGGCGACGGCATAATACGTTCACATGAAAATGTGGGTGTATAAAAAAAATTAATATGAAATTATTTAGTTATAGTTTTCTCACCAAATAGGAACAATGCTTCAATAATCATGGTACGAATACCTTGTACCAGTACTTACCAATTTTTTTAACCATGCCCTCCTCCATAAAATCATCTTTGATTTTCTCCATATATGATTTAAAACACCAGAATGATTCTACCTAGAAGTATACATTACATGCATTAAAAATTCAGAATCTTAAAGCTATACACAAATCTCTTTCCCAGGCTTTAACGAAGTATGAACACATAGGCGTACGAGCTGGAGGGGGGGGGGGGGCTGGGGGGGTGGCTGCCCCCCCATTTTGGGCACCAAATGCTGGGAAAATTGTAAAAGTTGTATAAAAAAATATTGTGTTCTTGAATGCGTCCAATTTAACAGCGAATTTAAATTCAGAGTGTCTATATTTAGGCAATTAAATAGAAATCTTAAGACTTGAACCCTCTATTGTTTGGAGTACAGTAAGCCACGGATTACAGTTACATAAACAACTGTTTTTAGTTGTGTATATTACAAGTAAATAAAATTTAGTTCTCTTTTATTGATGATTTAGAAATTAAGAACTTATTCATCGCAAAAGAGATATTATGATTATTATGTAACATACTAAGAACCTAACTACATTTTTGGGGCACCAACCACCACCGCCCCCCCCCAGTAAAAAATTTCCCTGTACGCCTATGTATGAACATAAAGGTTACTCAGCAAAATACGTTGAAAGTTTTATAAAATTCCATTGAGATCTTTGTCCAGACTTTAAAAGACAAAATATAACCGGAAAGGTAACTCTGTAGATTGCTTAAAAATTTACTATCGAAAAAATTGACAAGGTTTATCCTTGTACCTTATTGAACAATCGTATTGAGTTTCAAAAATTCTATCAAATCTCTGACCTGTATTGTATGCATAAAATTTCACATATTCCTAATTCTTACTTACTTCTGATCCCATAATGTATAAAAACCTGGATAGAATATCATTCATGCCCTGAGCATAACCCAATTCTGTATTATAGGCACAAAATGTAATAAGTACTTCTCTTAATTCTGTTAAACGGGGATTGCCTGAACCTCTGAAATCAATGAAAAAGGAGTTTAACTCAGTGTGACAGATTGCAAATTTCCTAATCATTTTACAGACAAATAATATTCATTTGAATTCCCCAATTGCTGTTCATCAATTTAAACAAATTATCCATTAATTGTGCTTACTTACTTGAAATATATCTCATCTCTATCTGTTCTAGGTACATCTTTATCTATAACTCTGATATGAGATCGCAATTCCTGCACATCTATCTTCTGTCTTTGCACAAATACCTTTAAATATGTAAAGATTCAGTAAAGTTTACCACTGATTATACAGAAGCCTATTTCTTGGGTGTGGGGTGGGGGTCACTTTGTGGTCAAAGGGGGATAACATTGCATTTGGAGGCAGACCACCATTGACTTCCCAACTGACTTTAAATGTTAATTCTTAACTGTTTACCTGGCTAAAACCTTTTCCCAAATTTTCGTTGGGCTCAAAGCTCTCTACTGCAGACAGAGAAACATTTGGCTGTATCTTGTTACAAGGCTTGTATGATATTTTGAGCATTAGTAAGTGTGTGTGAAATAGGTTAGCCTGTTCGATCCCTGCATTGGTCGTGAAAGTTCATCCAGATTTTCCAGTGTGGTTCCATCTTGTCAGTGATGCAAGACGGAGGGCCTGACAAGGACAGCTGTCTAGTCGTTCGCATGGAACGAAATACCGAGGTCCGGTGTACACATTGGTGTGCACGTAAAAGATCCCTTGACAGTTGGAATTCAATTTAAGAGTAAGCCATAGTGCCGGTGTCCGGGCAAAATTTCCCTCATAGCACACTGTATGGCGTATGCCGTCTTCATTAGCCCAGTTCGGAACAGAACAGTAGGACGTTAAACCCCATTTCATTTCATTTTACTGTGAAATAGCTTTATTTAACGTCCGCTTCCACCGAAGTGATATCGCGGACAACATTAATATGTGAGTCCTGCAGTAACTTATACAATCTGTGTATGATATGAAGTGTCTAGGTCATCATATTATAATCATACATGATTTGAGCAGCATCAGATACAACAATACACACCAATCTCAATCTGTGTACCGGTATTATAGATGATTACACCTCACATTTTAAAAAACACAAGTTTATATGGAATACAATCACTGGATTATACACATATAGCACAATGTTTCGACAAGTATTCTGTTATTGTTATCAAGTACTTGATATCATTTGTACTTGATAACGATAAGAGATTGTATTTCATATAAATTTGTGTTGTGTTTTTTAATGCCACTCAAGGATTATATACCTCATATTTTACTGATTATATAATGTACTGGATTTCACCAATATACACCAATTTCAATATGTATATTACAGATGAATAAACTTTTCACTTTACTGATTACTGTGTATTGGAGTTCACACTTAATTGATCTAGTATCTGTTATGTATATCAACAATATACATACACCAATCTTGATATGTATATTACAAATGAATAAACTTATCACTTTACTGATTACTGTGTATTGGAGTTCACACTTAACTGATCTAGTATCTCTTATGTATATCACCAATATACACCAATCTCATTATGTATATTACAAATGAATAAACTTATCACTGTACTGATTACTGTGTATTGGAGTTCACTGATCTAGTATCTCCTGTATCATGTATGTTTGAAGAGTATACATATATGTATACTCTTCAAAAAAAGTTGGGGATATTCAGAAACAATACAAAACTGCGGAAATGCACTGCTGTTTTTATTAGAGGTAACCAGTGTATGTTAATAACAGGCCAATTGCCTACACATAAACATAAACAGTTCATATGGGCGACTTATCTGACGGCCCCATTTCACTCGCAAAGAGATACACTGTCAAAAGTGAAAATGGATGCTTTTGATTTTTGTTTTAATAATGAGTAATTGGTCCACCAATCCTCAGACATTCAGCAATTCGTCATGGCATGCTCCTGATCAACCGTCCATTCACGATTTAGGGCAATCTGACCCACTCCTCAGTGTTGTCGGTTGATGTTGACATCGACGAACACGTCTCCCTATCAAATTAAACGTAACACACTAAAGCAAAGATACACTAAACAGTAAATCTTATGCAAGAACCGATAGGAAAGCAAACATGTATAGGATAAACCAGCAAGCCGCAGTTTTCATTAACCCTTCCTTGAAGTGTCAAATTTGACAATGAACCCCTCCCAAGTGTATGGCGCTATTGCATGTCGCACATGCAGATCAGTGGTTCTGTTGGTGCGATAAGTTATTCACCTGTGAACATACTCTCAAAGCATATCAAGTGTCCATGAATATTTATCATATTACAACCTCCATAGGTATTTGCATTTCAATATCCCCCACTTTTTTGGAAGAGTATATATTACATATCAGTACACATTACTAATTATTAATTACTATGTATTGGAGTCAAGATTCAAGAACCCACTTATACATTATTTAATGGTGTTTTTGGAATTACCGTAGAGCAACCAATATATGAGGATCTATTTAAGAGTAGATGTAAAATTAATAGATAAATCAAACCTGTGCTTGTAATTTCATAAATTCTACTTTTTGTTCCATATCTGGAGTATGAATCTTTTCTACTACATCAATTTGATCTAAGAGAGATAGATCTAATGGTCTAGGAGCAAACTTTGATGATGTCTCCTCAATATCAGCGGCTGACGGATTATGTTTCATATTATCTTCTGTATCCTTATCTGGATTAACTTGTGATTTCTCAACTATCTGATATCTAGCAAATAATCCCTGATCTAATAATGTAGCTGTAAAGATGAGAAGAAAACAGAATAAAATTAGGAGATATACACTGTATGATGTTTGATTTTTTTTCCATATCAATATGAAATAATCTTCAAGATCTGATCTGATTTATATCCCCAGTAATTTACCAGTGGCTGTCAGGCAGGATATGCCAACATTTTACAAGAGATGGATAGAGATCAAGCTAAAAACAAACACGATTTTTTGTACAATCAGGGGCAATAATCCAGAAAGTTATGGCCTGAAATGTGCAAATATCAAAAGGAACTGAGATCTTTGGGATATAAAGATATGTTTTAAGTTTCATCAAAATCAGATAAAAATTGTGACCTCTAGAGGGTCCACAACCTTCGTATTTACACACTTCTACATAATTTGCATACAAAGAGCGGCCATTTTGTCGGGCAGTTTCATTTCGATTTTCCCAAAATTTGAATTCAACATTCATTATGGTGGAAAGGTGATGTATTTAAACGGTTTTTAGAATCGGAAAAAAATTGTGACCTCTAGAGAATCTGCAAGCTAAAACTGCGATTTTTTTAACAATCAGGGGCCATAATCCAGGAAGTTAAGTTTGGGTATCTGCGATTATCAAAAGGAACCAAGATCTTAGTGTGTAACGGTGATATATTCACACGTTTTTTTTTAAATCTGATAAAAATTGTGATCTCTACACGGACCACAAGTTAAAAACGTGATTTTTTGTTCAATCAAGTGCCATAATTCAGGAAGTTATGATGTGACATGTGCGAATATCGACAGGAACTAATATCTTTAGGTTATAAACATGTATTTCAAGTTTCATCGAAATCGGATCAAAATTGTGACCCCTAGAGGTTCCATAACATTGATTTACCAGATGTTTACACTATTTGCATACGAGGGACGGCCATTTTGTCCGGCAGTTTTGGCCCGATTTTCACGAAATTCGAACTCAACAAACAATACGGTGTAACGTTGATATATTCAAACGTTTTTTTTTTAAATCGGATAATAATTGTGACCTCTAGAGGGACCACAAACTAAAAACATGATTTTTCGTACAATCAGAGGCCATAATTCAGGAAGTTACGATCCGATATGCGCGAATATTGTAAGGAAACGAGATCTGTGGGTTATAAACATACATTTCAAGTTTAAACCAAATCGGATAAACATTGTGACCTCTACAGTGTTCACAAGCTAAAAACGTGATTTTTCGTACAATCAGGGGTCATAATCCATGAAGTTCCAGTCCATGAAGATACATGCCAATATCGAAAGGAACCGAGATCTTAGGGTGATAAATCTATATTTCAAGTTTAAACCAAATCGGATAAACATTGTGACCTCTACAGTGTTCACAAGCTAAAAACGTGGTTTTTCGTACAATCAGGGGTATTAATCCATGAAGTTCCAGTCCATGAAGTTACATGCCAATATCGAAAGGAACCGAGATCTTAGGGTGATAAATCTATATTTCAAGTTTCATTGAAATCAGATAAAAAATGTGACCTGTAGAGTGTTCACAAACAATTGTGGACAGACGGACGGACAGGGGCAACGACAATATACGTCCACATGAAAATGTGGGCGTATAAAAAGAATGTTATTGTAGGATTTATATTATTTCAATGAATGTCACTGTCAAAGTACAGGACTTAGTCAGTCAATTGTCAGGCTTTGTCACTTGGTCTTTGCGGTTCTGTATCTTTGTTAGTCAGTAAGTGTTGCAACGTCTACTTTATATTTGGTTTGTCAGTTTGGTTATTTTGTTGGAAATTGCCATGTCTATTATCCCACAGTTAGATAGTGTTTACATGTATCCAGTAAAATACTACTACCTTGAAAATAGGTAAAGTAACAACAAAACTGTACATGACAAAACAACATTACATATTGCTCTGTCTGTCTTGATCAACCATGCAAAACCCTGCAAAAGTGATAAGGTGGGGGTTGGCCAAATTCATTCTTACTCAGGTCATAAAGTCACCCCATCCCAACATGCAAAAAGCCAAAATGGCCGACCCCAAATATTAACCCCCTCTTAGATATGGCCCTATGTCGATTTTTAGCCATTTTTGGCGAATTTTCAGTGAAAATTTGTCATATTTCAGCTATCAAATTCTACTAAAAGCATCAGGTTAGTGATTATGTCCGATTGTGGATGGATAGTGGGGGTCGGCCCCTAAAAACACAACATGAAAGACCGACCCAATATCACAGTCTTAAGCCGCTGGGGGGCATTTTCTGGTTACCACTTTTCGCATAGTGAAATGTACCCAATCGTTCAGGGGCTATATCTCGTCTGCTGCAGGGGGTGGGTCGAAATTGGGGTTATGTATTTTGAGGCGAGTATATGTCCTAACAATATCAACAATAAAATCCACCGGCGCTAGTCTACAACATAGCGAATCTTTGATGAGAAGCTTGCCGATTTCTGGATTTCTGACAATAAACTGATATTCACTGAAAGGATTCTAGGAGGCCTCAACACTTATAAAGTGCTCTAAATGCCCTATATATCACGGCATTTCGGATGAAAAATATTTCGAATGTACCGCCACCCGCTCTAGCAAAACAGACACGGTTGATTTTAGCTTGGTGTCCAACCTCAAATCCAAGATGGCTGCCATGGAGGAGAAAGGATATTGAATTTTTATTTCCGTTTACGGTAAATTTTGTCGCAATTTTGCCTCACGTTTCCTCACTATTAATCTGCTCTCTAGTTATGTGCTCTGTGGATTAAAGGAAGCCGTCGCTCAGATGATGCTGGAGACAATCGGCTTTTTTTGATCTGGGTCATATCAGGTGGCGGCGATAACGGTTCTGACAAGAAGTGTTCATCATTCATATAATATACTGTGGATATGATGACTGATGGGATACTCGCTTTCGTGTCTTATTATTGTATTTGTTACTTTTGTATTGAATTCTATTCTAAATCTCTCACGATTAGATGAACATACTAATTTGAACGATAAATTATAGCATAATAGTATCGAGTGAGGGGATTGTTCTCGGGCATAGGAATCAAATCCTCAAAATACGGTATTTCGCTATACTACTCATGTTAGTAAATTCATACTCTATACTTACTAAATCCTATTTCTAGATCTAAAAACTTTTTAAAAATATTTTGTTATTAGTGATTGTCGTGTAAAAAATAAAATCCCTTTCTTTGTTTGCAAATAAAAGTTCTGAATTGGAGCTTACCAGATGAGTCGCATCATTTCATTATTCATAAATACCTATCAAAATCCTTTATATCAAAATTGACAAAAATGTCGGGAATCCTAGCCTCACAGGATACTATTATTGATGACCAATCAATCCTGCGCCCCATGTAAAGGTGAAGGGGTGATGAATTGCCTCGATTAGGACTCTTAACCTCATCTCTCGGTTCCAATTCATCTATTTAAATGACTCAATATACTGATTTTTCTCATTTTTTGCTCACCACGAGACTGAGTGACTGATTTTTGTCAAAGTTTTTCTCAATGTTGTAGCCTAGCGGCCGTGGATTTTATTGTTGATATTGTTAGGACATATAGTCGACTCAATATACTTACCCCCGATTTCGACCCACCCCCTGCTGCAGACGAGATATAGCACCTCAAAGATTGGGTACATTTCACTATGCGAAAAGTGGTATACAGAAAACGCCCCCCAGCGGCTAAAGACTGTAACTTTGGGACGGTCTTTCATGTTGGGATTTAAGGGGCCGACCCCCACTATCCACCCACAATCGGACATAATCACTAACCTGATGCTTTTAGTAGAATTTCATAGCTGAAATATGACAAATTTTCACCGAAAATTCGCCCAAAATGTTTCAGAGCCCAACCGGCTTTTACTTTTCTATTTGATATATGCTCGCCAGATAATCTTTGATATCTTTCCTACAGTCTTTTACCCGCTTGTGATCTTTCTCTGCAGGATACGCATCATAAATGCCACATTTTGACTCAAAATATTGAGAAAAATCGCATTTCTCCTCCATGGCAGCCATCTTGGATTTGAGGTTTGGACACCAAGCTAAAATCAACCGTGTCTGTTTTGCTAGAGCGGGTGGCGGTACGTTCGAAATATTTTTCATCCGAAATGCCGTGATATATAGGGCATTTAGAGCACTTTATAAGTGTTGAGGCCTCCTAGAATCCTTTCAGTGAATATCAGTTTATTGTCAGAAATCCAGAAATCGGCAATCTTCTCATCAAAGATTCGCTATGTTGTAGACTAGCGCCGGTGGATTTTATTGTTGATATTGTTAGGACATATGCTCGCCTCAAAATACATACCCCCGATTTCGACCCACCCCCTGCTGCAGACGAGATATAGCCCCTGAACGATTGGGTACATTTCACTATGCGAAAAGTGGTATCCAGAAAACGCCCCCCAGCGGCTAAAGACTGTGATATTGGGTTGGTCTTTCATGTTGGGTTTTTAGGGGCCGACCCCCACTATCCATCCACAATCGGACATAATCACTAACCTGATGCTTTTAGTAGAATTTGATAGCTGAAAAATGACAAATTTTCACCGAAAATTCGCCAAAAATGGCTAAAAATCGACATAAGGCCATATCTAAGAGGGGGTTAATATTTGGGGTCGGCCATTTTGGCTTTTTGCATGTTGGGATGGGGTGATTTTATGACCTGAGTGAGAATGAATTTGGCCGACCCCCACCTTATCACTTTCTGCATGGTTTTCTCGCGGACCGACACTTAACTAAATCTCTTTTGTATATCAGCAATGGGTTTCGGCTTGCTCAACATGAAATATACTTTGTGTCACCTACCTCCAGGTCTAGAATCTAATACAAGTATTGTTTTCCATCTATTTTTTAATTCATGATATTTAATCATATAGTCTATAAGTAATTCTTCTCTTTCTCTGTAATATACATAATGTCAGAGTATAATTTACATAGACATTTTTAACAAATGGTTGTATTTATTTAAAAAACAAATCTCTATTAGATTATAGTATATTTGCAGTGTCATAAATATCTGAAGTATAAAACACATAATTGTTACAAATATTTCATAGCGACAAGGTACTGGGCTAAGATCTCGCAACTGGGCGAAAGATCCCCAACCTTTGTCAGTCTACAAAATACAAGATATACTATTCAAAAAAAGTAGGGGATATTTGATTTTTAAGTGTTATTAAAGTCACCTAATGAAACTGACGAAGAAACAAATGACAAAATGAAATGAAGTTCACATTCATCGATTTATTCCAAATGATCGTTAGACTAAGTAAGGCACAGACTGACCATTATAAGGGTAAAATGATACCCGGGGTCAAACAGCAAAGTTACCACAGCATCACAACCAAGTCAGTAACGGGTAAATCCTCCTCTGTTTGCCAAACAAGCATTGATCCGACGTGGCATACTCCTAATGAGACGTCTAAGGTCATTTTGGTCCAGATTGTCCCATTCCTGTTGCAACGCAGCAGCAAGTTCTTGGACATTGGCAGGACGTTGTTGACGTTGACGTAACCTCTGTCCAAGCATGTCCCAGACATGCTCGATAGGGGAGAGGTCGGGACTCAGTGCTGGCCAAGGTAATGTGGAGATGTTCTGTTGTTGGATGTAACCTGTAACGATCCTGGCCCTGTGACATCTTGCGTTGTCATCCTGGAAGATGAAACGGCGGCCATGACGTCGTGCCAACGGCACAACATGGACTGCCAAGATGTTGTCCCGGTAGTACTGGCCTGTAACACGCCCTGCAACAACATGTAAAGCCGTTCTTCCAGCAACAGTGATGCCTCCCCACACCATAACAGAACCACCCCCAAATCGATCATGTCTGATGACGTTAACGTCTTGGAAGCGCTCGTTTCGACGCCGCCGCACCCTCCTACGTCTGTCCAAAAAATCAACAGTGAACCTTGACTCATCTGAAAACATCACATTGCTCCAGCGTCGATTATCCCAGTGTTGACGATCCCTACACCAACGACGTCTTGCCTGAATGTGATGATCTCTCAAACAAGGGATCACGCGAGGACGTCGGGCGCGAAGGTGACCCCTATGCAGTCGATTCCGAATCGTCTGACCACTCACTCTCACACCAGTGTCTGTTTGAAGACGAGCGCTGATCTGATTTGCTGTGATGACACGATTTCTCAAGGCCAAGGTACGGATAAATCGATCCTGGGCTTGAGTTGTCGCCCTTGGTCGACCTGAGCGTGGTCTGTCCTGTACAGATTGTGTATCACGGTATCTGGACCATAGCCTGCTTATGACAGACTGAGAAACATTCATCGTCCGCGCCACAACCGCCTGTGTTGTGCCGATCTGTATCATGCCAAGGGCACGTAACCTTTCATTTTGGGTAAGCCGACGCATATCAAAATTTGTTTTCTGGTCACTAAAACAATTAAACTAATGTTTCCACCCTGGAATTCAATGCCACAATGACTGTAACATTCAAAGTCAGAGTCGTGCAAATCTTGGGTTGGACCCCCATGATTATCCCAAGCATCACCTGCATTCCATGCGGTAGCTATTGGTGCGTTTGGGCGTCACATGTAACTGGAAATGTTTCTTCTGTTAGGTTCTATAGTGACTTTTTTCGTAGTCATTTGCATATTTTAGTATTATGCCCCCAAAATCAAATATCCCCTACTTTTTTTGAATAGTATATGTGAGAGATCCTAGAAAGAAAATCTTCGGTCAGGGTATCAGGGAAACAATCAAGGAACTGCGACTGGGGGAGCTCGTGATAAATGAACACGACCCCCCAGCGATCGCCCCTTGGACGCTCCATATACCGCCGGTTAATCTAGATCTACTACAGAAAACCGACAAGAAAAACAACCCCACTGCTGCACGTGCTTTCTCTCTAGAACACCTGGAAGACAACTGACCGTCTGATGACTGGGACCATGTGTACACGGATGGCTTACGCAATCCTGAAAGGGGCACCAGCTCGTTTGGAATACACCTGCCAAATGGGGAACAGGGAATAAGCAGGAAACTGCCCAATAACTGTTCGGTGTACACTGCAGAGCTTGTGGCTATTCGTGACGCTATATCATGGATTTCCCATCAAAAGACTAATAAGTTCGTCATTCCAAGTGACTCTCTGAGCAGTCTAATTTCAATCCAAAATGACAACTCAGACTCAAGACCAGAAGTCATTCTGGAAATCAGGCAGCTGTACCAGAGGGTTTTAGAGAAGGGAAGCAAAGTAGAACTTGTGTGGATTCCATCACATGTCAATATTAGAGGAAACGAGGAGGCAGATCGACTCGCCAATGAAGGTCTCAAGGACACAGCACCACTCCGCACCATAGACTACAGCACCACGGAAATCTACAGTATGGTCAAATGACAGGTCAATTCAATCTGGGAATTAAATCTCGTTGAACTTGACACATACAGATTCCGGCTGGATGACAAGATCTACACAAAGACAACACTCAATCACCCTAGAAGAGATATTTGTAGACTTATATCGAAGCTAAGGGTAAAAGAGCGGTTGCGAGACGACAAACACCAAGTCATCATCTGTGAGTGCGGAGAAGAATGTACCACCAACCATGTCCTGGTAGACTGCGAGGTATACGAGGAGGAGAGAAGGGAACTAGTGAGAACAATGGAGACCAACAACATACCATTCAACACTAAGAACCTACTCTTCCCGAGACCAGATCTGAAACTGCAAATCTTCGAACAAATCGACGCCCTAATGGACACAGTTGGACTAAGTAGAATAGTGAAGTAAGAGGGGGTCACATAGGGGATATATACCAAACTGGCTGGATAGTGGAGTAAGGGGGAGCCACGATCAGACGGACTCGGCATCTAAACACTATTCCACCAAAAACAGACACCAAACCTACAGAGTGGGATAGTGGAGTAAGGGGGGGTCACGATAAGACGGGCCTGGCACCTAAACACAAACCCCACAAAGATGACATCTACCAAACTAGCAGGTTAGTGGAGTAAGGGGGAGTTACGGTCAGACGAACTCGGCACCTAAACACTATTCCGCAAATAAAACTGATACCAAACCCAGAGAGTTGGATAGTGGAGTAAGGGGAGGCCAAGATAAGACGGGCCTGGCACCTAAACACTAACCCCAAACGATCACATCTACCAATCCAGAAGCAGACGAGATCATCTACCAAACGATATGTTTTATATTAAATAAAGGGAAGAACTTCCCACTAAACCAAATCCATGGCCTAAGGCCAAATGGAAAGATTGCAAAATCATATTCTAAAAAACAGGAAAGCTTTGAGAGAAATTTTGCCCGGACAGCGGCACTACGGCCTACTCTTATATCAAATTCCAACTGCCAAGGGATCTTTTACGTGCATGCCAATGTGTACACGGGACCTCGGTTTTTCGTCCCATCCGAACAACTAGACAGCTTTCCTTGTCAGCCCCTCCAATGTCTAGACAGTTTACCTTTTAGTTGATGTATATGGATAAAGTCCAAACAGAAATTGCCATACTTCTTTTCTAATACTTGGATCTACGCCACCTGATAAGATGTTTAGAAAACATATTCAAAAACATTTAATGATATACAGTAACAGTCTGTAACCTTTTTCATAAATCATTATTGCTTAAAATTTATGATAAAACATACCAAGAGATTACCGATAATGTAATCTAAAGATTCAATATGGCTGTCCAATAAGCATTTTCCTTTTTTAATTTAAATCTGATAAAAATAAGGGATAAAATGTGTCCTTTAGATAGCAATTCATTAACTGGAATAGACACCATCTTTGCCTTGATGGTCATGAACAGAAAAAAATGATAGCAGTGTGATATCCATTGAAAAAAGCAAATCTTAAATTTTAATCAATTTTGGACCAATATGATTTTTAGTCATTGGTAAGGCTACTTTTTGTTGTGATTTAGAAAAGTGTTAACATATTTGTGCTGCAATAAAATTGTGAAACTCACTTTATCCAATATATATAGTACACACATTGAAAATGTAAACAGATTTATAATAATTCTACAAACAAAATACCCAGAAAAATAGCTTTGCGTAAACCATTTTCATTTACTAATCTCCCATCTTCATCTAAAAAACTTTTAAATTGTTCATGTGTCAGCTGACTTGTTCTATTACTAACAGGTGTTGATTGAGTGGTGTCCAATTTAGGTGGTGTTGGTTCTACAGGAATAATATCAATAGTTTCATATGATGCATCCTCACTGCATGGTCTGAAATTTTGTTAAATATCTTATAATTTATAATCAATCATTAAAGATAAAATTATGGGAGATTAGATTAAGAGCTGGAAGTTCTCACTATAATAGTTATAAACTAGATACTGTAAAGGGAATTTGCTGAAAATTTCAGTCAAATTGATCCACTATGAACCGAGATTTTAGCGATTGAATTTTCCGCCTAGCCTCGATCATCATTACTAAAGTCGGTGGGATATAAAACATAATCTTGATTATCCATTTAATAATTAAATTATGAATGAAAGTCGAACAGCAAATCGGCACCTAATCCAATAAACATCGTAGGCTAGCGATGTCATCGATAGTTAATTATTTTGTCTGGATAAGTTATTTAATGTCTAATTAATAATTGAAATAACATTTCAGGCCTAAAGAAAGACCTGCATAATGTTAAATAGATCATCACTCGGATAGATAAAAAAAATGTGATATGGGTAGGGGGAGTGGGAAAGGCTTTATTGTAGAGGGAAGGTGTAAGAGAGAGAGAGAAATGAGGTTTAACGTCCAACTGACACAAACTAGGTCATTTCGGGACTAACACATGTTCAATTTTATTTCAAATAATTTGCTTGCATGTAGGGGCTTTTAGCAGTGGAAGGACCTGGAGAAAACCCACGAGGTTGGACAGGCAACCCTACTCCTTGTCACCTACAACCGGGGAATCGAAGCCATGCGACAGTTGACTCAATGACAGACCTTATGATACAGGGGCACATCCTAACCATTTGGTCATCCATCCCCCCTTAGAGGGATGGTATTAAAGAGAACAGAACCGCCTAAGTTTCGAAAATCACAGTTGGTGACTCGTTCTATTACATTTTAGGTCCATTTTTATAATATAAATATTAATATACCCCCTCATTTTAATGTAAGAAACTTTCCATCAATAAAAACAGGAAACACAAACTAATTACAAAAGGTTTGATGTGACAAAGTCAAAATGATGCATTTTTATTTTATTTGGGACACAATAATAGACAAAGTCTAAGGGGATAAAAATATGTTGTTTTTTTTATATCATAACAGGTATACATTGACATCACCCTGTCTGCCTGTTGGTCTGTCATTCCCATTAAGTCAATAGCTAATTCCCTATTGTTAAGAAATTGTGTCAGCAACTTCAAGGCTTTAACTACAATCTGATTTTTTTAAAATTTTAATGAGTTGTGTAGCTCACTACTGTTTGAACGACGTAGACGTAGCTGGTGGTACGCATACTCCTTGCAGTGTTTCGTTTGATTATACCTACCAGGCGCGGATCCAGAGGGGGGAGGGGCCAGGGGGTCACGCGCCCCCCCCCCCCCCGCTCAGGCTTGAAAATTTGAAGGGTCCGAGAAACTTAAATCTAAAAGCCTGAATCTGACCCAAAAATTGCGAGTTTGTATACATTGAGTTGAGTCATGACTTTCATTCCACTGTGGGCAAAAACAAATAGTCACATACAGCTCTGGCAATCAGCCAAAAACGTTGACAGCATAAATTGCCGTCGGGACTAATTGACCCCATGGCAAATCGCCTATTGACGACAGCAATTTTTTAATACCGTACTGTATGAAAATATAAGTTTATTGAAATTTAAAGAGTTTTATTAACGCTGTTCGCCTGTTGACGTTGAATATTGTTGTGTTTGCTTTTTAATTTTATCGGCAGCGTTGATAAGAAAAAAAACCCTGGTCATTTATTTTATCAAATTTTTAAAAAAAATATAACCAGCGGCTGCCAGGCAGGATACGCCCACATTTTCGAGAGATGGATAGAGAACAAGCTAACAAGAAAGTGATTTTTCCTACAATCAAGGGCCATAATTCAGGAAATTACAATTCGATATGCGGATATATCGAAAGGAACTGAGATCTTTGTGTTATAAACTTACATTTCAAGTTTCAACAAAATCGAATAAAAATTGTGACCTCTATAGGGTCCACAACCTTGATATACCATATTTTTACGCTATTTGAGAACGAACGGCGGCCATTTTGTCTGTCAATTTTGGGGCGATTTTCACAAAATTCAAACTCAACTGTCCTTAGGGTGGAACGGTAATATAATAATACGTTTTTTTAAATCGGATAAAAATTATGACCTCTAATGGGTCCACAAGCTAAAAACATGATTTTTCGTACAATCAGGGGCCATAATTCAGGAAGTTACGGTCCGATATGGGCAAATATTGAAAGGAACCGAGATCTTTGGGTTATAAACTTATATTTCAAGTTTCAACAAAATCGGATAAAAATTGTGACCTATAGGGCCCACAACCTTGATATACCATATTTTTACGCTATTTGAGAATGAACGGCGGCCCTTTTGTCTGTCAATTTTGGGCCGATTTTCATAAAATTCAAACTCAGTCGTCCTTAGGGTTATAAACTTATATTTCAAGTTTCAACAAAATCAGATAAAAATTGTGACCTATAGGGCCCACAACCTTGATATACCATATTTTTACGCTATTTGAGAATGAACGACGGCCATTTTGTCTGTCAATTTTGGGCCGATTTTCATAAAATTCAAACTCAGTCGTCCTTAGGGTGTAACGGTGATATAATAATACGTTTTTTTTAATCGGATAAAAATTATGACTTCTATAGGGTCCACAAGCTAAAAACGCGATTTTTCGTACAATCAGGGGCCATAATTCAGGAAATTACGGTCCGATATGCGCGAATATCGAAAGGAACCGAGATCTTTGGGTTATAGACTTACATTTCAAGTTTCAACAAAATCGGATAAAAATTGTGACCTCTATAGGGTCCACAACCTTTATATACCATTTTCTTACGCTATTTGAGAACGAACGGCTGCCATTTTGTCTGTCAATTTTAGGCTGATTTTCACGAAATTCGAATTCAGTCGTCCCTAGGGTGTAACGGTGATATAATAATACGTTTTTTTAAATCGGGTAAAAATTATGACTTCTATAGGGTCCAGAAGCTAAAAACGTGATTTTTCGTACAATCAGGGGTCATAAGTCATGAAGTTACGGTCCGATATGCGCGAATATCGAAAGGAACCGAGATCTTTGGGTTATAGACTTACATTTCAAGTTTCAACAAAATCGGATAAAAATTGTGACCTCTATAGGGTCCACAACCTTTATATACCATTTTCTTACGCTATTTGAGAACGAACGGCTGCCATTTTGTCTGTCAATTTTAGGCTGATTTTCACGAAATTCGAATTCAGTCGTCCCTAGGGTGTAACGGTGATATAATAGAACGTTTTTTTAAATCGGATAAAAATTATGACTTCTATAGGGTCCACAAGCTAAAAACGTGATTTTTCGTACAATCAGGGGCCATAATTCAGGAAGTTACGGTCTGATATGCACGAATATCGAAAAGAACCGAGATCTTTGGGTTATAAACTTTCATTTCAAGTTTCAACAAAATCGGATAAAAATTGTGACCCCTATAGGGTCCACAACCTTGATATACCATATTCTTACGCTATTTGGGAACGAACGGCGGCCATTTTGTCTGTCAATTTTGGGCCGATTTTCACGAAATTCGAACTCAGTCATCCTTAGGGTGTAACGGTGATATAATAGAACGGTTTTTTAAATCGGATAAAAATTATGACTTCTATAGGGTCCACAAGCTAAAAACGTGATTTTTCGTACAATCAGGGGCCATAATTCAGGAAGATACGGTCCGATATGCACGAATATCGAAAAGAACCGAGATCTTTGGGTTATAAACTTTCATTTCAAGTTTCAACAAAATCGGATAAAAATTGTGACCCCTATAGGGTCAACAACCTTGATATACCATATTCTTACGCTATTTGGGAACGAACGGCGGCCATTTTGTCTGTCAATTTTGGGCCGATTTTCACGAAATTCGGACTCAGTCATCCTTAGGGTGTAACGGTGATATAATAGAACGGTTTTTTAAATCGGATAAAAATTATGACTTCTATAGGGTCCACAAGCTAAAAACGTGATTTTTCGTACAATCAGGGGCCATAATTCAGGAAGTTTCTGTCCGGTATGCGCAAATATCGAAAGGAACTGAGATCTTTGGGTTATAAACTTACATTTCAAGTTTCAACAAAATCGGATAAAAATTGTGACCTCTATAGGGTCCACAAGCTACAAATGTGATTTTTCGTACAAACAGGGGCCATAATCCATGAAGTTTCGATCCGTTACATGCCAATATCGAAAGCAGCCGAGATCTTTTGGGGATAAACCTATATTTCAAGTTTCGTCGAAATCGGATAAGAATTGTGACCTGTAGAGAATCCACAAACAATTGTGGACGGATGGACGGACGGACGTCCGGACGGACAGGGGCGACGGCATAATACGTCCACCTGAAAATGTGGGCGAATAAAAATATGCTAGCGGAATTTATAAGATTTTTTAAAAAATTTGATACATAACATATTCACCGCTTATGTTTTATTATTATTATTATTATAATTATTATACTTGAAGAGAATGTCTTATTAGGTGAACTTGGAACATGCCCTTACCGCGAAACAGTGGAAGGTAGGCCTACTACAGCGATCGAGAGTGCAGGTAAAATACTTCCGACAGGTCGTCATTCGTAAGACTTTTTTATACACGCATTTAAAACAATTGCTGCGTGAGACGTAACCCCACGTGTGTTTAAAATCGAGTAATTAGAGATTAACAATAAACTAAATTCATCATCAATCGATTTATTTAATTAGCCTAATTGTCAAGGAGCCTAACCGTCGAATTCCCTTTCTTTCGTTTCTCCTTTCGTTTTCTCCTTTTTCTCGTACACCAAGCAACTATTGCAAGCTATATTATTTATTTTTATGCGCTGAAAGTAAAAACAGTAAACCAAGTCTATAGACTTTTCATCTGTGAAAGTTTGTGCTCTGGAAAACCCCGACCAACTTTCCTATACTTAAATGGACTGGTTACTCTAATACTAATAGTAAATTGATACTGCTAATAAAGCTTGTTAAGAACAACCATAATATGGTATCTGAAGATATTTTGTTCGTCACCTGTGAAGAGAGCATTCCCCATCAACATTTTAAGGACATTTTATGCGATTTTATTGGCGATTTTTAGACCTGTAATTTTGGAATTTACGTTCCGGAAATACGTCAGAATGCACCAAATTGAATCTAATTTACCAAATTTATCTGGGGGAGGGCCCCCCCCCCCCCGACACAACGTTTAGCGCCTTCGGCGCTACCGCAATTAGTTAAGCAATTCTCCAACCTAGACCCCCCCCTGCAAAAAATCCTGGATCTGCGCCTTCCTAATCCCACAAAACACTGCTTTAACGAAGGCACATTTCTGTTTCAAATTATGACTGGTCAATGGTCCGATTAACAACCAATAGCTAACTTCGTTACAAAAGCATTACGCTTAAAACAGAGCTCCAAATTGGACCAAATATGTTTACATTATAACGTTACGTCATCACTCACGATTTTATTATGCCCAATCAACCAGTGCATAGCAGAATATTGCAGACAAAAACTAATTGTGTGACAAACGAGGCTATCAAATCAAAAACAATGTAAACAATGCTGTTTGGAGACGAACATACTTTCACCGTTTTCAATACCTTAAATTTCTGTCCAAAGTTTTAGGGATTAAACGAAGGGCTTTCATGTTGCTGTACTTGGGATAGATTTGATTGAACAGGAAGAATAGACAAACTCCCTCAAAAGCTTAAGTATCAGAAGCCAATCCAGCAATGGCCAGAGAGGGATTTCTCGGGCTATTGCTTCAGGAATATGGTGGTATGTGGCAACCCGAGTTTAATGAAAAGTGGCTGTTAGCACTGCATATGTATGACAGTGTTCTGTTTGGCAACACATGTAGGTTAAGGCATCCCCCTGTGAAATTTGAAACTTTCATTGTTTCACATTTTGACTTCATGAGTTTTTTAAGTTGTTCTGGTTTCTTATAATATATATAGACTCGATGTTAACTTTCACTAGAAGTAGAAGACCTATATGCTATCATGAGAAAGTTATATTTTTGCAATCTTATGCTAACTGTGATGTGAAGAGATAAGATAGTTGTTGCAGTGCTGTTGTCATCCACCACCATGCCTTTTTAATATATTTTTTCACCCAGCAAAGCGGAATTTATTTGCTACCATAGCTCTAAAGACACTAAATAAAGTGAATTTATTCAAACTCAGAGTCAGAGTATATCAAAATACTCTTATTTTATTTACTTCTCTGTAATTTTACAACTACAAAATATATAGGCCTGCTACATCATACAAGAAACATAAAATACTATGGGTAGGTCTATATAAAACTGATCATCAGAACAATGTTATGATGATGATGTCATGTAATTGTAATCCAATAAGCTTTTAAAATGTTTAACTGAGTTTGAGATAGATTGAGTAATATGTAGGTCTAAATAAATAGTAACAACATGATCATAACATGGATAGCAAAAGCAAATTCATCCTTGAAATGGTCACTTTATAGTCTTCCAACAACAAAATGTCCAGAGATGTCAAACTACTATAGGTTATAAATATTATAAAATAAAATATACCTCTGAACAATAAACGACATAGCTCGCTGTCTGCTTCCGTATTGGAGTTACCGTTCCCTGCTGTGAACCGAATGCAGAAATAGGATATCAGCATCAGTGATTACGACCACTCATCCACCACTGATGTTACAACCGCGATGCGATAGCTTTCCTTCAACCATAGAAATAGTATTCTATGCTTCGATTATAGAACTAGAAATACTATTAGTTTTCTAGTTCTATGCTTCAACACTGTAAAAGGTTGGCATGACATAACTTTGAGGTCACGTCTAATTTTGTTTTATATATTGAAACATCACTGTGAAACAATCGATAAAATGCAACTAGACTATACATTAAAGCAAGTTTCATTAGCACTCGGTGTTGATTAAGATACAAGTAAAAACAAAGCCAATCCATAACAATCCAAATGGGTTATTTACATAGTCGTATCAATAACTTTCAGCAGGAAAAAAGTTAATTTCGAGGGTTAATTAACTCATCCCTAGGAGTGAAGTGGGCGGCCAAGCGGATATTTACTGCTGATTAGTTTGACAAATCGAGCGGAATCTCTCATTCCAGCCATCCGTATTCGAAATGAAGTTAGCACACATATTCCTAGCGCCAATAAAAACCTGAAATGAAATGAGAGAGAGAGAGAGAGAGAAATGGGGTTTAACGTCCAATCGACACAAACTAGGTCATTTCGGGACTAACATATGGTTTAATTTTATTTCAATAATTCGCTTGCGCGTAGGGGTCTTTAGCAGTGGGAGGAAACCGGAGAAATGAAATGAAATGGGGTTTAACGAACGTCCTACTGTTCTGCTCCTAACCTGGGCTAATGAAGACGGGCATACGCCATAAAGTGTGCTATGAGGGAATTTTGCCCTGGCAGCGGCGCTACGGCCTACTCTTATATCGAATTCCAACTGCCAAGGGATCTTTTACGTGCACGCCAATGTGTACAATTAAGGGACCTCGGGTTTCCGTCCCATCCGAACGACTAGACAGCTGTCCTTGTCAGGCCCTCCGTCCTGTATCATTGACCAATAAAAACTTAGATATAATTATCACGAAAATAATTGTTACCTTTATATTAGAAAATAACATTTAAGACATATTAATGCAAAGTTTTTATGTAGGCCTAATAGACAAAAAAAACAAAAAAAAAACACACCCAAAATATTACCGTAAACATACTAAAATATCGCACACTAGGCTAACTGAGCACGCAGAAAAGGGGTACGCCCACGCTGCATCAAAACGCACCGAACCCAGCTTTGGTGTCAAAATGTTTTATTTTATTTCACAGAATCAAGGGATTAATAAACTATAACTAGACTGCAAAATTCGAGAAGCCTCCTTACGGTAAACATACTAAAATATTGGGGAATCGGGTTAGGCTAGGCTCACTGCGCACTGCGCACAAAATAACTTCCAGACTAAGCTTTGGTGGCTCCAAGATCTTTATTTCACCAAATATACACAACAAAATACTTGTTTTGTTTTTTTTTAACTTCGTTGGTTTGGAAACCAACTGCAAAGCTAGGGTCTAAAATCTATTTATCGATTGTAAAGGTAGATAACTGGGTAGGTACACATTTCAATTTTCTGCAAAATATCGAATAATCGTTGTAGTAATAACACTAATGTGCTGTTATTTGACAATATTAAGTTGTTATTGGACCATATTTGGTAGTATTTGATGAGAATTTAGTAGAATTGGGTTATTATTTGCTTGTTTTGGGTGATATAGGGAGGCAAATGGAACAGCCAGACATCGGTATCACATTTGAAGTACATTTCCCGCAATATAACACTCTATTTTTGAAAAAAAAATCAACTGATATGTCCATTATGCATCATTATGTTGTAATATTGGGTAATATGTGGTGATATAGAGGTGGTATTGGGTAGTACTGGGTAAATCGTCCCGCCGAAATTAAACAGCAGTGAAGTGAAGTTTTAATTCGTTGGTAGGGAGTCAAAAGGTCGTATCTCGCATATTTTGCGAAATTCACTTTTCTGCTTCTTCAGAATGAGAATTTTCGTGCGCATCTTTTCATCTGGTAGTCGTATTTCTAAGCCAATAAAAAGAGATTTTATAGACATTGTTTCAAAATGTCGTATATGGGGTGTTCCAAAAAAAAAAAAAAAAAAAAAATTATTAAGAGTGAAAACGTCGTATTTTCTTGAAAAAATCAACTTTGTGTCTAATATAACCAAAGCATTACAATCAAACGAAATATAGCCAGTATTGTTTTATGGTTAAATACGTATTACTGAAATTATAGTTGAGCCTCTACAGTGTGAAATCTATGAAATTGAAGTAGGTAAAGGTGAATATTTTCCTGAGATACGTCTTTGCTGTATAAAATTACAAATAACCAGCTTTCACTCCTTATTTCTGCACTTTGAGCTTGATATGTTCGGATCGTTACATACTGTTTAAATGGCTACACATACATTTTATAAATAAATATTTTTGAGAAAAGCTTCAGAAATACGACATTTTACATACGACATTTTGACGTGACGGTTTTATAAGACATTTTGATTCTTAACCTCTTGGCTAGTTTTGGCTCTCCTGGAAAATTTGGCAAAATCCAGATACGACCTTTTGACTCCCCACCGACGAATTCCTTTTTAAATTCCTTACCATGAAAGCACTGCAGTCGATGGTACTTTTCTGTGATGCTGAACTGGACAAATACATGTATATGCATAATAATACCAAGGTTGTAGATACTCTAGATGTCACAATTTTGATCCGATTTTAATGAAACTTCCTTTCGATAGTGGCGCATATCGGACCGTAACTTCTGGGATTGTGGCCCCTGATTGTACGAAAAATCATATTTTTTAGCTTGGGGCCCTCTAGTGGTCACAATTTTTAATGATTGTAAAAACCGTCCAAAGATATAAGCGTTACACCATAATTGTGGTTGAGTCAGAATTTCGTGAAAATCGGACCGAAACTTGTCGTCAAATGGCCTCTACCCTTTACGCGTAAAGGTATGATACAAAGGTTGTGGACCTTCTAGATTTTTAGATTTTTAAATATCACTATAGTTCATGCATGAGCTCGTTTGGTGTGCACCCGTTCTTGAATTATGCCCATGCCTTTCACACAAAATGTGAAATATGAATGAAGTTTGCGAATCTTCCAGAGGCGACAATCTTTGTCCGATTCATTAGATGAAAATTAAACAATGTGTTAAGGATCAAAAGTTCTTGGATGAGTTTCCCTTTGGTACGCATCAGACCTTCCATTTTAGAGCAATAGCCCCTGCTATAGAATGTGAAAAAAAAACTCTACCCCGTCGTGTTTTAATTACCTAATCTGTCATAGTTATAATGGAAGTCAGATGTCCCAGAATGAAATATTTAAGATCGACACTCGTAACCGAGGGACTCTTAACCCACGGATTAGTATAGTGCATAGCAGGGGTTTTCTTCTGAAAGCCTACGTTCTACTTTTAGAAGTCTCACTTCTATGTTAAAATCAACGTATCTAAATAATTTGAATAAAGGAGTACTTGCAATCAAGTTATTGGTGGGGGGGGGGGGGGCTACCTCCCTACTCCGCCGGGCCTGTTACCAGGTTTTAAGGACGGTGGATTGTAGATGATCCAGTGACATTGAGCCATAATCATATGATCAGTAAGATGACAACACAAGCCAAAATTGGTTACCATTATATCTTTCAAATTAACAATGGATAGAATGTTAGAATGTACACTATATAGAGATGTTAAGCATGGCATTGTTCGACGGGTGGGTCTATTCACTGTCGACTATCTTTAAATGACCGCGGATTATCACCCTTTTCTTCCTTGGTTGGTTACTTGAACATTCCTCGTGGCAAATTGGTTATTTTAGTCAAAAATATTTTAGGAATCAGGCCGCGCTTATTCCCACCTGTATTTAGGAGCCGATCAATGTATGTAAACATTTGGAAGTTGTAATGGAAGATTACATATATTGTAGGCCAAAAATGGGGTCCCAAAACTAAGAACATATAGGAAGACAGCAAGTGAACATTTCTGCTCGAACGTATATAGGCATATGTCGGTGGTTGGCATGTGCAGTCAGAATTATCCTGGATTGTCTGGAGTGCCATAATCCTGTTGTAATCTATGCCATCTTCCCCTTCAGGGATTTCATTATGGAAAGCATGACGGTCCCCTGAACAAGGACACCGCCAGACATTAAAGTCTTCTCCATAAAACTTCTAAATATTTCTTCTTGTGGTTCTTTTACATGATAATAATATGGATAATAGATATACCAAGTTTATGGTAATCATGGTAGCCCACAAATCTATACGATGATCTGCTCCTAAATACAGATCTTAATAACCGTGGTCTGATAACTGCAAAATTATAGGCCTACACGACTTATGACCCTTCCCTTCGGCTATGCGGCGAGGGTGAAAATCCGATTTTGTCACAAAAACATTATGAATTTTGACCAAAAATACCCCTTTTGACAGGTATGTTCAAATAATGAAACATATAGTAGTAATGGTGATGATCAGTGATCATTTGAAAATAATCGTTAATCATTGGTGAAAAAATGCTGCTTTGGTTAGACTGATATAATAGCTTGCCATGCCAGCCCATACATTTATACACTTCTCGGCTACTAACTCCTGAAGTCAAAATAATTGTTGTCAGATTCTGTAAAATTATGCATAAGTTTTCGCCTCTTCCCTACGATTTTGTCACAAAAACGTTATGATTTTAACCATGTGACACGAAGAACGCTCAAATAAAAAAATATAGTACTAATGTTGATAGTCGATGGTGATTAAAACTCTTGAATATAGTCGTTGGTCATCAGTAAAAGAAGAAATGAAATGAAATGAAATGAAATGTTGTTTTATGGCACGTCAGCTCCAACCGGGCTATATTGCGCCAAACATATGGTGTAATGACTGACAACGGTAAAAATTCGATCTAATATTCTTGAAATGCTTGCACTCAATCAAAATGTGCTTAACTGTCAAAGGAACATGACAGTGTTCACATTCTGGTTGAGGCTCTCGCTTTAAAATGAAAATATGAGTTAAAAAAGTATGACCAATGCGAGAGCGACACAATACAACTTCATCCCTCCTGTTGGTTCTGAAGGAGCTTGGCCA